GAAAATGACACCAGACAGCAAGAAGCTTCTGTGAGAAATTAGAGCTTCCACTAAATCAAAACGAAGGTCAAGATGAAATCAACCTCAGAGAACTTCATGGGATTCAGTGCCAGTCTCCAGGGCCCAGTGAAAATGAGAGAGACATGCATCAAGTGGGATAAAAGTACTGGAGATGAAATTTTTGAACAAAAATCAAAATACACAAATTTGAAGAATTTTGAAGAAACTGTAACAAAAATAAAATAAATGGCTACAATCCTGCCACTTCTGTTTAGTTTAGGGCAGTGCTTTTAAAAGACTTTCTATTCAGAGCTGGCATTGTGGCACAGTGGTATGGTTAAGCTGCCACTTGTGATGGAAGCGTCCAATTTGGGAGTGCTAGTTTGAATCTGGTTACTGTTTCCAATCCAGCTTCCTGCTAATGTGCCTGAGAAAGCAGCCAAAGATGGCCCAAGAGCTTGGGCCCCTGCCTCCCATGTGGGAAACCCAGAAGAAGCTCCTGGCTCCTGTCTGGCACATTCCTGGCAGCTGTGGCCATTTGGGGAATGAACCAGCTGATGGATGATAACTATCCCTTTTTCTCTATAACTTTGCCTTTCAAAAATAATCTTTTTAAAGGTTTTTATTTATTTATTTGAAAAAGTAGAGTTGGTGGGCGGGGCCGGGGGGGAGATTGAGATCTTCCATCCAGTGGAATGATGGCAATGGTCTGGGCCAGGCTGAAGCCAGGAGCTTCATCTGGGTCTCCCACATGGGTAGCAGGGGCTCAAGCACTTTAGCCATCTTCCACTGCTTTCCCGGGACATTAGCAGGGAGCTGGATCAGAAGTGGAGGAGCCACGCCCTGAACCAGTGCCCACATGGAATGCCGGTGTTGCAGGCAGCAGCTTAACCCACAACCCTGCTCCCACCCCATCTGTGTCTTACATACACACGTATGTGCAAGTATATGTGCATACATGTGGGTACAAACACGTGTGCAGTAACTAAAAGCATGGCCTGCAGTACCTCCTTAAGGAGTGGTGCTGCCAAGATTCTAGAGCGCCTGTGGTTTTCCAGACATGGTACTACTGGGCAACGAAGAACCACTGAGAAAAGCACAGAGGGCTGCACTTGCCAAGAATCATTCACCCCAAAGGCAGCCTCCATGACACTGACATCTGACAAATACTAACGACCGAAGTTTTTGCAGCAGTTACAGAGGGACAAGCAACAGGGGAACGGATGGCACAGAGTGCCTCGTGAGAAAATGATGATAGCACCTGCTTCTCCTAACCACATCCTAAGGGACCATCTTCAGAACTTTACGTATCTGAACTCATTTAATCTTACCTTCATTTTATAGATGAGGACCCCAAGGTCAGAAAGGTTGAGTACCTGCCCAAGACTGCCGTGCTGATAAATGGGCATCTAGCTCCCGAGTCTACATTCCGAACTTCCACAGTATCTCTGTGCCCTCAGCAAGCATTACTGAGCTGCTCAGGACAGCCCACCCTCTATCCGGAAGGCACACTGCAGTATTAAGCTGATAAACTTCATTTTGAATGTTAGGTATTTTGCCCTTTTCTTTAACTTTTAGACGTTTTATACTCATGACAATAAGCACAATATATTTCCGTTTAATTTTAAGTTCCAAATATTTAGGTAATATAGTAATTAAAGAGTACTCTAAGTGTTGTTGAGAATTTTTTGCCTTTAAAACATACGCTCGGGTCGGCGCTGCGGTGTAGCAGATAAAGCTGTTGTCTGCAGTGCTGGCATCCCATATGGGCACCGGTTCGAGTCCCAGCTGCTCAACTTCTGATCCATCTCTCTGCTATGGCCTGGGAAAGCAGTGGAAGATGGTCCAAGTCCTTGGGCCCCTGTACTCTTGTGGGAGACTCAGAAGAAGCTCCTGGCTCCTGGCTTCAGACTGGTACAGCTCTAGCCACTGTGGTCATCTGGGGAGTTTACCAGCAGATGGAAGACCTCTCTCTCTTTCTCTACCTCTCTCTAACTCTGCCTTTCAAATAAATCTTTTTTAAAAAATACACTCAGGCCGGTGCTGTGGTTCATTTGGTTAATCCTCTGCCTGCGGTGTCAGCATCCCATATGGGCGCCGGGTTCTAGTCCCGGTTGCCCCTCTTCCAGTCCAGCTCTCTGCTGTGGCCAGGGAGGGCAGTGGAGGATGGCCCAAGTGCTTGGGCCCTGCACCCACATGGGAGACCAGGAGGAAGCACCTGGCTCCTGACTTGGGATCGGCGTAGCTCCGGCTGTAGTGGTCATTTGAGGGGTGAACCAACAGAGGGAAGACCTCTCTCTCTCTCTCACTGTCTAACTCTGTCTGTCAAATAAAAAAAAAAAAATACACTCAAAAAAATACTCTTCTCTGTGGAGGCTCAGAGGCTAACTCCAGGGCCCAGCTCTCAGGACAAAACGTTGCACATGTCTGTGCGTCTGTTTCAGAGTGGCCAGCTCCTCACGCAACTGTCCAGTGTTGGGCAACACATCCTGACCCCTGTTCGTAGAGCGCCCCGCAATTCTCAAGACAATGCTTCCTACACAGGGCAGATGGTTGCTGATTCAATGGCCTTACGCTGCAATTTCCTAATCACAGACACTCGTGTGATAAAGGAAGGCGTATGACACACAGAGACTGGCGGGTCCTGGGGAGGCTGAGACACGTGAGCAAGCCCAAGTCAGGCTACAGGCCCATCTCTGGAAGCAGGGACCGCTCCTTCCAACGTCTTTGATCTAAATCCCTCCATCTGACATCTACAAACTGCCCAACATGCTCGGGAGCCATTTCTGGGCCCTACCAGACATCCCCATGTGTGCAAGAACTGGGTCTGATTTGATTTGCAAATAATCTTGCGAGGGAACCTCCAATTTAAAGATGAAGAAACAGGGCCTCAGACTCAGCAATTTGCCCGACTACTGGACTTACAAGTGGCAGAACAGGACCTGAATCTCACTCTGCTCCAAGCCCAGTCCATACCACCACCCAGTTCTGGTGTTATTCCCACACTGGGTGGGGATGCTGGAGGAATCTGAATTGAGGTGAGGTGGAGGATGCAGGTGTGGAAAAGGAGGTCCTAATGGGGTTCAACTGAAGGAGGCTCTTAATAAAAAATTGTGATTTTTCACCTATCAGAAAAGCAAATACCAGCCGGTGCCATGGCTCACTTGGCTAATCCTCTGCCTGCGGTGCCGGTACCCCGGGTTCTAATCCCGGTTGCTCCTCTTCCAGTCCAGCTCTCTGCCGTGGCCCCAGAGGGCAGTGGAGGACACCCCAGGTGCTTGGGCCCTGCACCCCATGGGAGACCGGGAAGAAGCACCTGGCTCCTGCTTCGGATCGGTGCAGCACCGGCCATGGCGGCCATCTGGGGAGTGAACCAACAGAAGGAAGACCTTTCTCTCTGTCTCTCTCTCACTGTCTATAACTCTCTCTCTGTCTCTCACTGTCTAACTCTGCCTGGCAAAATAAACAAATAAATAAATAAAATACATTAAAAAAAAAAAAGAAAGAAAAGCAAGTACCCAAAAGTCTGATAACGCCTTCTGCTGGCCAGGCAGAGAGGACACAGATGCTTCCTGGTGTAAACGGCAATGTCTGTGACAAAGACAAAGGCATCCATTTATCCTCTGGCTCAGCCACTTTCTTCTTGGGAGTTTACAGAACACAGACACTGAGAGAGAACTGACAGACCATGTATACAGACTATTTATGGAAACACTGAATTTCGGTGCCTATTAAATACAGGACTGAGGAAACAGATGAAGGTACACACTCATACAACGGAACAATATGCAAAAGATAAAAAGAAGGCAGAAGCTCCGGCATGAAAGGTCCCCTTCAAAACAAGATACTGAAGAGTGAGTGCATGATAGTGCTTCACATAGTTTATATAAAAATGGGATTAAAAGATAAGTGTATTTTGATGCAAAAATATTTTGAAATTCATGCATAGTTTTTTCATAATACACATTTTCTTGACCATTCTGGACACTCGTCATACATACTGCTTTTTGTGGAAAATGGGGAGAGTAAGAAATACAGAAGAAAATTTTAAAATCTGTACCCAGGTGTTTTTTGCAGATACAGTGAAAACTTTTGAAGAATATGCAAGAAATGAAAAATTCTGTTCATAGGAGTGGAGGGGAAGAAGACCAGGTAAATGGGTGTCAGGGGTGGGAAACACTTTGCTTTTTTTTTAGTCATAAAAATACCTCATGTGTAAGGCTGTGAAGGCTCAGCGCAGGCTCCCCCTCCAGTCACACTGCTCTGTCCCACACGCTGGCTGGGCCCCTTTTCCTACCACTGCCTCTCCTGTCATCCAGGCTGTGTGTCCCCCAGGTCTTCTGTGAGGTCACAACCTGTGTGCTATGCTTCACTGCACTGGGTGGGAGTTTATTAAATGAACTCTTCATTTAATAATACTCTACCCAGGGGGGTCAGCACTTGGCTTAGCAGGTAAAGCCGCTGCCTATGTTGCCAGCATCCCATATGGGTGCCGGTTCGCGTCCTGGCTGCTCCACTTCTGACCCAGCTCTCTGCTATGGCCTGGGAAAGTTATGGAGGATGGCCCAGGTCCTTGGGCCCCTGCACCCACGTGGGAGACCTGGAGGAGGCGCCTGGCTCCTGGCTGCGGATCGGCGCAGCTCCGGTCACTGTAGCATCTGGGGAGTGGATGGAAGACTCTCTCTCTGCCTCTCCTCTCTTTGTGTAACTCTTTCAAATAAATAAATAAATCTTTGAAAAAAAAAATAATACTTTACCCAGGCCTCAGATAGACTAAATGAGTTGTTAAAGGTCACCCAGGGGCAAAGTGGGAGCTTGCCTGGCTCAGAACCCTAAATCCATCCCCTCACTGTGCCCAGGTTCCTCCATTATAGCTCCCTGCAACTCTGGCCTCTGAAGAAAACAGGATGTCTCCTTTGACCTTCCTTCTGCCTAACGGCATTCAGTGACAATCAGTGACATGAAACAGGAAGAGAGGAAAAAAGAGGAGGGGTACTCACTCTTGCAGAGACCGGTCTGAGTCGTCAGCATTTGCTGTGCCCAGGTCTGAGTCGTAGGACATGGGCTCTTCAGCATGGTCCGGACTCTTAGAGCCATGCTCTTGGAGTAGGCAGCTATCAGAGTTTAGGCTGCAGGACAGCTGGGAGGAACTGGCCGTGTCCAGGCTGAGGGAGGAGGCAGTGAGCTTTCTGTTCCGCCGGACCTTGTGGCCCGAATGCTGGACTTCGATGTCCTCTGAGCCTGAGGAGTGAGAAATTGAATCCAGAGACTCCTTCCGCTGTAGTTCTGCACCAGAGGTAGTGACAGGTTCAAGCTCAGAGAGTGGGCATAGCCCAGACAGGGCCAATGGGGTGAGCGTCCACTCGTTTAAGATGGCGGACTTGTAGGAGAGTTCAAAGGATAAGGATGTTAATCCTTGCAGGAAGCTAAGGAGGAACTCAGCCTCCTCGGCATCTCGGAGCAGGGCTGAGGGCTGATAGTACTCGCATAGCCGGGTCTGCTCCTGGAGCAGCAGCTTCAGGTAGCACTCCATCAGGCCGTCATTGAGGGCCAGCCGCAGCCAGGCCCGGCAGCGGCCCACGTCCGTGTTCACAAAGACCAGGTGCTCCAATTCCGAGATGATGTGTCTGGGAAGGGGAGGACAGACTGTTTCAGGAAAACCGAGATGCCGTTTTTCCACTGGTTAGCAATAATTACTGAGTGACAAGGCAGAGAATTAGGGAGCAGTGTGTTAAGGGGCATCTAGGAATGTTAAGCTGTAACCCAATTTTTTGAGGTTCAAGTTACGAAAGATAATTGTCACATTCATTACAACTGTCCCTTGGACCTCTGACGTCATCTGCTCACCCAAGACATGTCTGCTGAGCCCCCAAGTGCAAGGTCAGCAGGGGTGGGAAATGACAGGATAACGACATGGCTCTGGCCTCAACCTAGGTACGTGGGAGACAGCTGTTTTGTTGGTGGGGCTGCAGCGGAGGGTTGGGCAACTGTGTCTAGGCTGCAGAAAGAAAAATGCCACAGAAGGGCAGTATCTGAACCAGGCCCGGAGGGGTTTCAAGAGGTAAAGATGGAAAGAAAACCTTCTAGGCACAAGGAACTGACAGAAGGAAGACCTAAAGGGCTGCAAAGAACACAAGCACTGCAATTACAACACACAGGGGGAGAGTGGGGGACTCAGTTGTTGCAAGTTGGTAATGGAGGGTCCTGAATGTCCAACTGGTAAGGCAAGCCAGGGCCATGGTGCGTCAGAACACGACTGCTAGATTCTGGGCCCCAACCTAGGGCATCAGACTTCAGGCTGGCATTTAGAAGCCTGTGGGCTACGGGTTTTTAAAGAGGGACGTGACTTGCCCACAACCGTGTACACTGTAGGGTGGACTCTGGATAGGGAGACCCAGGCCCAAGGGCGCCACACAGTTCCTGAAGCCCTCGGCGTGCTGTGAAGGCCCCTCCTCTGCACCGCGGTCTTCTCTGGAGTGCAGACCACATCCTGCTGGACTCGGTGACTGAGCTCCAGCTAGTTTAAGCTCAGTGAAGGCTGACTGCTGCCCCACCTACGGAAAGGCAGAGTGCGATACGGCAGACAACAAGCCACTGTCACCCACAGAGAGAAAAGAACCTGACACAGGGTGGCAGAGGTGGGTATGGAAAGGAACTCTCAGACTGATGGTGGCACTGATTAGCCCTCAAGGAACGGTGCCAGCCAGCTACTTGCGCAAAAGCGCAGGCAGTTAGCAGCAAGGTGGGAAAGGTGAATATTCAGCTGTCTACCCGGGTTGCACTCTTCTGAGAAAAGTCCATACCTCATTATGAGTATAATATTTGGAACAAAGATGTTCAAACATTCTAAGGCAGGCTTAGTCAACTTTTCCCTACAAGGACCAGACAGGAAGTGCTTCAGGTTTGCAGGCCACACCACCTCTGTTGCCTCCACCTAACTTTTACAGGTGTGGTCCAAAAGGCTGTTGCCGCTGAAGCCCACCAGCCCAGGGGCATAAAGCAGTCCCAGGCTTTTGTCAGGGCCGAGGGCTCGGGGCATGATGGCTGGTGGGGAGGCATGGTCCAGAGATACACCTCTCTGTGAGCTACTCTCCCCCCTGCTCCACCCTGGCTCTCACGGAACACAGGCAGCTCTGCTGGCTTCCCATGCAGCTAGCGGGGAAGAGCCACACTCCAAGTCTCCGCCCAAAACAAAACCTCTCTCACTGAGCTCACTTGTGGGTGACAGTTTTCAAAAGGGACCAGAAGACCGGCTGCGGCAGAGGCTTCTGGTGGGCACTTTTCTTCCTTTTTCCTCCAGCCTCAGCACGGATGTGCTTGGCATGTAGGCCGTGTATGAACACAGCCTCCAGGGCACTGCACATGGTGTTGGCGTCTCCGTCCTCACTGGTGACCACGGTGTCCAGAGACACGTACTGCTTCTGCAGCGCCTTCACGGATCCCACCAGCTTCTTCTTGATGACCTGGGCAGCACCAAACAGAACACAGGCCTTTAGAGGAAAATCCTGAGAGCCCCTGTCGCCAAACACAAGTGCAACCACAGATGAATGTATTTATGGGTTATTTCCACACAGTCAGCATGTTCATGAAGGCAAATAAAGATAAACACAGAGAAGCAAAGGAAAACTGCACACTCAGACAGCCTGGAGATAACTGCGGTGCTGGTGCTGTGCATCTCATTCATGGTGGGTCTTTTTTACTTTCTGACCCAAACTCCTTATAATCTTGTGTTGAAATACTGGCCCCAGGCTGGCATTGTGGTGTACTGGGTTAAGTTGCTTCCTGAGATACTGGCATTCCCATATGGGTGCTAGTTGCTCCACTTCCAATCCAGTTCCCCACTAGTGCACCTGAGAAGGCAGCTGAAGATGGCCCAAGAAACTGGGCTCCTGCACACATGTGGGAGACCCGGATAGAGTTCCAGGCATGGCTTTGACCTAGCCCAGCCATGGTAGTTGTGGCCATTTGAAGAGTAAACCAGTGGAGGGAAGCTCTCTCTGTCCCACCTCCCCCTGCTTTGTAATTCTGCCTCCCAAATAAATGGCCCAGGCTGGGCTAGGCCGAAGCCAGGAGCCAGGAGCTTCATCCAGGTCTCCCACATGGGGGGCAGGGGCCCAAACATGTAGGCCATCTTCTGCTGCTCTTTCTAGGCCATTAGCAGGGAGCTGAATCAGAAGTGGAGCAGCTGGCACATGAAACTGTGGCCATATGGGATGCCAGTGTTGCAGGTGGCAGCTTTACCTGCTATACAATACCAGCCTCCAAATAAATAAATACATAAATCTTGTTAAATAAAATAAAGTAAGTATTGGATCCATCATAGATACAGCTATGGGAGCCAGAGTCAACCTACCTAGGCAGGTGTGAGGCTCCCCACCTCGTTTACAGGACCAAGATCCTACAGAATCAACAAACTAAGAGGCAATAAATGCTGCTTAAAACAATAAAAACATCAAGAAAACTGGAGCATGGTTACATCAAGAAAGACCTTGGGCCTGGCAAGTCAGAGGGTAAGGTTCAGGCCTGGCTCTGACAGTGACCTGCTGTCACTTCACACATTTCACTTAGCCTCCTGACTTCCTGGTCCGTTAAATGGACACAGTATTCCCTAGCTAGGATCGGCAGAGTGCTTCTCAAGGGCAAGACTAGTTTTGTATCCATCTTTGGGGCCTCAACACTTGCACTGTGTTTAGCACCTAGAGTAACTCAGTAAATGGGAAACAAGCACATCACAAAATGTATACAAGTACTCTAGAAACAGTAACAGTTGCTCAATCCTAACTATGTCAAAATTATCTGTTTTGAAAAGGACTAGAAGGGATCACAGGAAAACTGACTTGAATGGTTCAGTGAAAGGATTATGAATAAATTTTCTTACTCTTTTATTCTTAATTCAGCCCAAACAGTAAATGTTTATATTCTTTGGAAAATTAGGTTTAAAAAAGCATTAATGAGACAAAATTCACATAACATAAAGTTCATCCATTTACATATACTTGTAATTCAATAGTTTTCAGTACCTTCATGGAATTGTACAACCATCACCACTATCTAATTTTAGCACATTATTATTGGGGCTGATGCCGTGGCATAGCAGGTAAAGCCAACGCCTGCAGTGCCGGCATCCCATATGGGTGCCGATTTGAGTCCCGGCCGCTCCACTTCCGATCCAGCTCTCTGCTATGGCCTGGGAGAGCAGTGGAAGAAGGCCCTGGTCTTTGGGCCCCTGAACCTGTGTGGGAAACCTGGAAAAGTTCCAGGCTCCTGGCTTCGCACTGGCACAGCTCCGGCCGCTGCAGCCATTTGGGGAGTGAACCAGCAGATGGAAGACTCTCTCTCTCTCTCTCTCTACCTCTCTGTAACTCTGCCTTTCAAATAAATATTTTTTTTTAAAGGAACATTATTATCACCTCTAATAGAAACTGTACTGGTGGTTGCTGTGAGCCAGGGAGAGGGAACTCGGCAGTGACTGCAGTCACTAATCTACTTTGCCTCTATGTATTTGGACTTGCCTATTCTGGAGATTTCTTTTTTTTTTTTTTAAACGTTTTAAGATTTTATTTATTTATTTGAGAGGTAGAGTTACAGAGAGTGAGAGGGAGAGACAGAAAGGTCTTCCTTCCACTGGTTCACTCCCCAAATGGCCGAAACGGCCGGAGCTGTGTCAATCCTAAACCAGGAGCCAAGTGCTTCTTCCCAGTCTCCCATGTGGGTGCAGAGGCCAAAGGACTTGGGCCATCTTCTGCTGCTTTCCCAGGCCATAGCAGAGAGCTGGATTAGAAGAGGAACAGCCGGGACTAGAACTGGCGCCCATATGGGATGCCGGTGCTGCAGGCGGAGGATCAACCTACTGCGCCATGGCGCTGCCCCTATTTTGGACATTTCATCTGAATGGAACCACACAACATGTGATCTTTTGTGTCTCACTTCGTTCACACACTGTTCACACTGTTTACACACTCTTAAGGTTTATATACCATGTCCTAGTACTCCATTCCTTTTCTTAAAAAAAAAAAAAAAAGTATTTAAGAGGCAGAGAGACTGATGCACCAGGGTGGGAGGGCTTCCACCCACTGGTTCAATCTGCAAAAGCCAGGGGTCCAAAGCCAGGAGCCAGGATCTCAATCTAGGTCTCCCACGTGGGTGTCAGAAACCAAACTAACTGAGTTGAGTCTTCACTGTGGCTTTTTAGGGTCCACATCAGGAGGAAGCTGGAATCAGGAGCTGGAGTTGGGTATTGAACCCAAAAAATATTCTATTACAAAGATATACCATATTATATTTATCTATTCATCAGTGAATAGATGTTGGGCTGCTCCCACTTTTTGGCTACCATACTGCTATGAACACTCATATACAAGTTTCTGTGTAAACATGCTTAAGAGTTCTCTTGGGTATACACCTAGGAGTGAAATCGCTGGGTCATATAAAACCTTATGTTTAACTTTCCGAGGAACTGGTAAATTATTTGCCAAAGTGACTGTACTATCTTACATTCCCACCAGCAATGTCTGTCTTCTTGATTATAGTCATCCTGCTGCGTGTCTCAGTGTGGTTTTGATTTGCATTTTCAAAATGTCTAATGACACTGAACATTTTTTCATGTGCTTATGGTCATTTGCATATCTTCTTTGGAGAATGTATATTCAAATCTTTTATCCACTTTACAACTGGATTATTTGTCTTTCTCTTGTTGAGTTGTAGGAGTGCTTTTTTTCTTTTTAAAAAAGATTTATTTATTTACAAGGCAGGGTGACAGAGAGAGACAGAAAGAGAGATCTGCCACCCAATGGTTCACTCTCCAAATGCCTCCAACAGCCATGGCTGAGCTTGGCCAAAGCCAGAAGCCAGCAGTTCCATCTAGGTCTCCTATTTGGGTGGCAGGGCCTTAGTACTTGAGCCATTATCTGCTGCCTTCCACGTGCAGCGGAAGGAAGCTGGTATTCCAAGCAGAAGCCTAACCTGCTGTGTCACAACGCCCACGCTGAGGAGTTCTTTGTATATTCAGGTCCCTGGCTTCAGCTTGTCCCGGATGTTGTGGGCATTTGGGGAGTGAACCAGTGCATAGAAGATCTCTTTCTGTTGCTCTGCCTTTCAATTACTAAACACTAAAAATTATTTTATATGCAAGATATTATTAGATATTACATAAAAAGTACAAATGCTTAATTTAGCTGAGTACCTACTTGGTGTTGTTAGGGGATGTAGGGATTAAACAAGGCATACCCACAAGAAACTCATACCTTTGGGGCCAGATTTGTGGCACAGTGGGTTAAGCCACTGCTTGTGACACTAGCATCCTATATTGAAGTCCAGGTTCAAATCTTGGCTGCTCTGCTTCCAACCCAGCTCCCTGATAATGTACCTGGAAAAGTGGAAGATGGCCCAAGTCCGTGGGTCCTTTCCACCCGTTTGGGAGATCTAGATAGAGTTCCAGGCTCCTGGCTTCAACTTGGGCCAGCCCTGGCCATTGTGGCCTTTTGGGGAGTGACCCAGTGGATGGAAGCTAGCCGGTGCTCTTGCTCGCTCACTCTCTCTCACTGGTGCTGCAGGTGGAGGCTTAACCTACGACGCCACAACGCAGGCCCCCATCCCTCTCTCTGTCTCTATCACTCTGAATTTCAAACAAATACATAAATCTTAAAACAAACAAACTTCATACCCTTGAGTAGTCAGTCTATGCAGCGCTTGCTGGAAGCTGAGCCAGCCTAGGGCTCTGCCTTAGCTCCAGAGGTCCAGGGGGAAGGATGAGGGAAGGGCCTTTGCATGAAAGTCAGCTAGAAGGTAGGTGGAGCTTAACACTCCAGCGGCCAGGAGGGAGGAAGGCACATCTCTGAGGGCTAGAGTTCCTTTTAAGCAGAAAGTTCTCTGAACTGGGAGCGGCAGTGGGGGTAGAAAGGGAAATTCTGGCTTTTCTCAGAAAGTCACCTCAGCCTAAAGGCTACTTAACCTCTTGCTTCTCCCAGGGAATCGAGAGCACTCAGCCCGGACTATCCAAGACAGCCCAGGGCCAGCAGGGTACAAAGGGCTCTCCCAAGACAGTGAGCCTGACGGGGCTCTGGTGAAGTGGTCACACACAACTGTGTTACTGGTAAATGTTCCAAAATATATGTAAGTTACCAGCTTACCCCATTAATCAAATAACAAACCAGTGCCCGGCAGCATTTGTTTTGGACCAATTCAATGCACTGGCCAAACTGACCACGTTACGGCCTAGAGGCAGGGGCTGAAGGTCTGAATGCAAATCCTTCTTTTTGGGTAATCTGTCTTCGATCCCCACTGTTTTCTGGGCAAACTCCCATTTTATAACCAGTAAGACTCCTCAGGGCCTGCTTCTGCTATACATTGTTCTCAGCCAGATGCCTCTTTTTCTGGACAGTGTCTACTCAGGTCAAAGTAAGAAAAACAAACGAAGTGGAATCCTTTGCAGCCCCTCCCCAACCCTGCCCACCTACCGGGATGGCAGCCCGGGGATCCAGTCCATTCTCCCCTACTGAGAGCATCTCCACGCACAGCAGCTCCCGCGGAGAGTCACATGGCACCTGCAGGGACAGAGGCAGCCAGCTGAGCAGGCTCCCAAGGCACCCACAGCCAGAGGTCCCCCCACCCCCAAGCAGGTGGCAGGCAGGCATCCCACCACACTCAACCTGCAACTCTAAGGCTTTGAGTAAGACAAAAGCAAAACCTGAGTGGATTTTAAGGAAGGAAAAAGGCCAGAGGTGGGTCGGCCCTAAGGCGTGGGCGGTAAGGACTCTTCACTCCACATCAAAAGCACCGCACAAAGCCAGGGCCCTGCTGGACCAGGAGGTGAAGAACAAATGGCTGATTTAGGTGCAAGGGGGATGCTTCAGCCGAAGGTGCCGAGAACTTGAGGGGCCCTGGACACAGGGGGCTCACAACCCACACTCAGGGCCTGGGCCTCACAGTAGCCTCTGACTCCTGTTCCAGTCCAGTGTCTTCCAGCTTGGTGGTGAAAAACACGAGTGGACTGCACCCGCACGGGAGACCAGGAGGAGGCGCCTGGCTCCTGGCTTCGGATCGGCGCAGCGCCGGCCACAGCGGCCATTTGGGGGTGAACCAACGGAAGGAGGACCTTTCTCTCTGTCTCTCTCTCTCACTGTCTGACTCTGCCTGTCAAAAAAAAAAAAAAAAAGACAGACAGACACAAGCGGAACGGCTTCATAAGGGGAGTGCTCTCCTGCTACACTCCTGCTTCGAGACTTTGAGGGTTTAGTTTGAGCAGCACAGGAATGTGTCTACACAGACCAACAAGGGTTCTGGCTGCAAACTGCCCCTAACCAGCTGGGCATAAGAGAGGCGCAGCATAGCACACAGCCCATTGAGTTACAGGGATCAATGGTATCTGTAATCCCAGTGGTGTGGCCACCCCAGTCTAGAAACAAAAACTGCCACTGTGTACATGGAGTGTGTACCAACAGCTAAGTCAACATGAGGTTAAACCACTAAATCCCTCAGGGCATCTGGTTTCCTCCCTTGGCCTCAGCCGGAGGGTGCTACTGGCTGGCCTAGTTCCACCCCAGCAACTTGGGCTGGGCAGATCAGGGCTGGACAGGCACATTCCCATCTAAGCAAAATCTCAGGGGAACAACCTGCTGAGCTGGGGAAAAAGCTAGCCTCAAGGAAAACAAACAGAAACAAAACTGTTACAGCTGCCTCTGCTCTTAAACAATTATGACCCAAGGATTGTCACATACCTCGCCTCCTTTACACTGCTGCCAGCCACCCTAGAAGGGTGCTGATAAGGAAATCGAAGCGGCCCAGGTCAAGAAGTACCAGACAACAGGGCTGGCAGTGGCCTGGTTCCAGCACAAGCCCCCAGGGCAATGCCAGCCACCCGCCTCCTCGCCCCGCCCCCGCCCCCCACCAAGGGAAACCCCAGACTCCTGACCGAGGGCCAGCACCTCAGAACTGGGACTTGAAGTGTGGGTTGGAAGGAGGACGCTTCAGCTGGGGGCCCATGAGGGCTGCGTCCGTCAGGGAGGAGTTCAAGAAGGCAGCAGAGCAGTTGGAAAGGGCAGAAGCAGGGTGATCCTCAGTCAGCAAAGGGAAGATGCTGATTCAACCTCGGGCCCCTGGGGTTGGCAGAAGGTGAACAGGACCCAGAGAGCCAGGCCCCTCTGGACAGCAGGAGCCCCGGCCCTAGTGCAGCCCCTGCCTCGCTGTCCCGCCCTTCACCGCGTTCTCTGCTCCCACCTGCTGGGGAGACCAGCTCCACACTCTGGCCACCAGCAGCCAGGAAAAGGAGTGTGCTGCTGTCAGTCACTCCTGGAAACGCTGCTGGTCCTGGGGGTTGGGCTCTTTCAAGGTTGCCCAGGTACAGCCCAGCAGGCAAAGCTCAGCTCCTCTGCCTCTAAGATGCTGGGCGGCCATGCCAGTTGCAATTCCAGCAGCCTAAGGAATGCCCTTCTAGACAGAGCCCTCCAACTCCCCAGCTGCCAGCTTCAAGGTCTGGACCCTAAGTAAGGGCTAGACTTCAATGATATAAATAATAGCCTAAGTCCTTTACGGTCTCATTAACTAATTAGCTGAGCACAATAAAGTATTCATTAGGAGAGGGCTATTAATGAGTGGGTACTCTGGCCAAGTAACTGATGAAAAACAAAAACAAAAACAAAGTAGGCTGAAGCTAAGAGAGGGCAGGGCAGGGCCAGACAAGAGACAAGTAACTGTCACCTCAAACAAAGTGTGAGAAAAACCACAAAATGACTGAAAACAGCTCCAAGCAGAGCAGTAATTCCAAGAGAACCCGACAATTCGCAAAACCAGACCAAGACGTCACCACCCATGCAGGCCACGACTCAGGACGCACCTTTCTTTGGCCTATTCACACCTACCCCAGAGCTTCAGGAGACAGGAGTTTGTCCACCAGGGACCTAAGCACCTACCTGGGGGACTGGAAGGAGGCTCTGGGGCTCCTGACTGTTTGGTCCGGGTTCCATTATCCACCTGGGTGGCCCAGGCCCCGGTTTACTATCAGATGGAACTGGTATCACCTCCTGTCCTCAAAACACTATTTCTTGATACCAAAAACCAAACCAAAGAGAGGCATGGTTTCAAGAACCATGCGGAAGGGAATACAGAGAGAACTTGGGCGATGCTACCAAGGGGTTTTTCAAACAGTGTTGGTGAAAGTTTTGTAGGGGTAAGGAGGTAGTTTTTGTCATTTAGGAAATAACACACTGTCTCCTGCCACCTCCGAGTGTTGATTCACCCTTACACAGTTTTCCAGAGTAAACAAAGCAAGCTGCTCTGAGCTCATTCTCTAACTTTAATTTCTACAGCAATCCTGTGACAGGAGGATCATCCCTGTTTCACGGAGGAGAAAGCTGAGGCTCAAGAGAAACGGGCCTCAGATAACACACAGAATTCTCTGGTTCCCACATTCTAACCCCTGTGCCTTTTGCCCGACTGATCTGTCTCTTTGGTTTTTGGCTTGAAAAGTTTCAGGCAAGCTACTACTTACAGATTCTTCCAAGGTACTCAAAAGCTCCATTTTATCAATAAGGCCTAAGACCAACAGGAAACAGGCTTGACCGATCAGATTTATAGCCCCAGTCGGCTGAGCCCAGGTCCTGCCATGGTCCCCAGGTTTTAGAGCTGCCCTTTCTTACGCAGTCAGAACACTAGGAATTGTCCTCGTTGTTTTTCTTCATTATAATTCTTGTCTCTTTGTATATAGGATGTCCAATTTTACTTCCTCCAGAGACCAAGGAAGAAAGAAAAAAGAGAACAGTTTAGATGAGACTTACATTGAAAGAAGAAATGGATAACCCCTGGCTTCACCGCTCTCAAAACATTTAACCACCAGTAAACAGCAACCTCTCTTTAGAGACTTGTCAGCCAACTCCCAAAAGTCTTTCCTCCGCTGCCTGAACCATGAACCTGGCTGCTCGGAACAACAGCCTGGTGTTTAAAGCCATCCAGCTGCGGTACCAATGGATGAGTCATGCATTTTCAGTTGGAAAAGAATGACAAAGATATCTTCTGATTCAGAAAGGCAGCTGATCCTTCAGGCATGTGAGCGCTGAATGAGGAAACAGTACCCCCTTCCAACTGCACAAAGCTGGATTTCTGGACAAGTGTTCTGGAAGGGGTGGGATGAGAGGTGGGAAGGTGCGGACCTTTGAAACAACTGCTTCAAATATGAGAGAACTCTTAGCTTGTGATTTCCGAAGGAACAGTGGGTGAGAACCGTGAAGCTGGAAACACTGGCTGCCTTTCTTCCCTCCCTCCCTCCTTCCATCCAGCAACATCCAGCTCCCCAGTATTCCCGTTCCACATCCCACAGTATTCCAACAAGGAGTAAACTCTGAATGAATGAACACGGAGACACTGCCTGACTTGTTCACAACCGTGTTTCCAGTATGTAAACAGTGTGTGGCACACACAGTGGTGCTCAAAAAATACTCGAATGAATTGATGAATAAATAAAAACTAAGCACAGGGCAGGTATCTCCGCTTCACAGACCTCGGAAAACTGAGGTGCCAACTCTTCAGAGGTGGGCCTTGTGGGATGCTTTCCATTAAACCAGGCTGCCAATCAAGTGGAAACCACTCAGATATACTGCTCCTTAATGGTAAGATATTGAAAGTAGAGGGCCAGCGCTCGGGTACAACAGGTTAAGGCCCCGGCCTGCAGTGCTGGCATCCCATATGGGTGCCAGTTCAGGTCCCAGCTGCCCCACTTCCCATCCAGCTCCCTGCTGATGCACCTGGGAAAGCAGCAGAGGATGGCCCTGGTCCTTGATCTCCCACATGGGAGAAGCTCCTGGCTCCTGGCTAAGGATTGGCTCAGCTCCAGCCATTGCGGCCATGTGGGAGTGACCCAGCAGATGGAAGACCTCTCTCTTGGGGCCAGTGCTGTGGTGTAGAGGGTAAAGCTGTGGCCTGTGGTGCTGGCATCCCATATAGATGCTGGTTCAAGTTCCAGATATTCCGCTTCTGATCCAGTTCCCTGCTATGGCCTGGGAAAGCAGTAGAAGATGGACCAAGTCCTTGGGCCCCTACACCCATCTGGGAGACCTGGCTTCAGATTGGCCCAGCTCTGGCCTTTGTGGCCATCTGGGGAGTGAACCAGCAGATGGAAGACCTCTCTCTCTGCCTCTCTGCTTTTAAAAACAAATAAATCTTAAAAAAAAAAAAATCTCTCTCTTGGGGCCAGCACTGTGGTACAGTGGGTTAACACCCTGGCCTGAAGCACTGGCATCCCATATGGGTGCCAGTTCTACTCCCGGCTGCTCCTCTTCCCATCCAGCTCTCTGCTGTGGCCTGGGAGAGCAGTGGAAGATGGCCCAAGTCCTTGGGCCCCTGTCAGCCATGTGGGAGACCTGGAGGAAGCTCCTGGCTCCTGGTTTCAGATCGGCGCAGCTCTGGCCATTGCGGCCAATGGGGAAGTGAGCCATTGGATGGAAGACCTCTCTCTCTCTGCCTCTCTTCTCTGTGTAACTCTCTGACTTCCGAATAAATAAATAAAATCTTTAAAAAAAAAAACCTCTCTCTTTCAAATAAATAAAATAAATCATTTTAAAAAATATATTGAAAGTTGAACAGCATTTGATTTTCAAAGAAGCAAGAGTATAAATGGCAAACACAGACAAGGGGTTCTCTTGAGGTCCTGTAAAATTGCTGTCAAGTGGCCAACACGTCTGAGGCCGGGGCATTAGAAGTTTGAGGAACTGTGCACCAAACCCTCTCCCCCAAGACTACATATACTGAGCATGGGAATCGGTGCCTCAGGAAGGTCCTCGTGCCTCACTGCTCTAGGAATAATCGGCTCCGTGTGCATGGAAGCCAAACGGCCAAAGCTCCGACACCTTCAAAAGAGGAAGCAATTCAACATCCTCTGTGCCCACCCACGCCTCAGCCTCTTCAGGATCCACTCGCTTGTACTTTCACAACCATGAGGTGTCTGGGGACCCACGGGTCCTTGCGCTCAGCACTGGGATGGACTTGCACCAGCTCTGGCGAGGAGCAGCACTGGGAGTGGGTCCTCCACAAATTCCAGGATGACGCACATGGACATGGCTGTGACCACAGTCAATGCCACACAGTGCTACTCCCTGAGATTCTTCAGGACCAGGACACCAGCCAGAAGGAAGTGCCCCAGGCTGAGTGGCCATCTCTCACCTTCCAGACATTTGGATGACAACTCCTATTCCATTAGCTGGCACAATTAATTTAATATGGATGTCAGAAATGCAATCGCCAGGGACAGGTACTTGGGTGCTGGCACCAAGCAAAACCCCCACCCAAGAGTGTGGCGTAGAGGATAAAGAGATTCCTCCCCCTCCACATGTATTTACCACCTGAGCCCCACCTGCCCACTCAAGCTGCCAGGTTTCCAACTGCCTGGCTCCCAGCAAATACCCAGATCTGGCAGCTGGAGGGCAGCCGGCGGTTGGCTCTGCACTAACGGGACTTAAGCTGAATGGAAGCTGGATCGAGGGAAGAACGGGCCCCACGCTGCGGTGAAGGGTGGCAGCGGGGACAGCAGAAGCGACAGGCTACGGAGAGCTCATTCTTAGTAAGAGTGGGGAAGGGTGGTAGGAACTCAGGCTGCAGGAGCTGGGGGCAGTTTAGCAAACCAGGGATGCGGTGTGCTCAGGCGGTAGCAGATGGAAAGGAAGAATGTGCGGGGCTGGAAGGCAGATACACCCGAGACTCGGGAGAAGGCTGCATCAGTCGCTAAGAAAGCGGTGCGCTCAACAAGGCGCCTTACTTTGGTGATGGGTCCTAAATGAGAAGGGGGCAGATTCTGGGGAGCTGGGCAGGGGCTGTGGGAGGCTGATAAGAAAGTTGAGCCAGCGATGGGGAAACCAGAAGGGTGGGTTTGGGGGAGGTCTGCGCGGACCTTTCGGGTCGCCACGGGGGTTGAGAGGCAAGGTTGAGGGCGTTAGCGGAGGGGCGGGGATGTGGCCCAGACGCGAGATGGCAGGGGTCTAACGTGGGGTCACGAGAGCAGCTGTATTTACTCAAGACCCGCGGCGAGGCGACGGGTAAGGCAGAAGTCGGGTCACGGGTGGGAGCAGATGGGGGAGACGGGCCGGCAGTGGCAGAGCGTGGGGTGCGGGCGAGAACGGGTGAGGGCTCCGAAGCCGGACAGTCTCAAGGCAACCGGTGCTGTGCAATCAAGAAAGGGCGGAAGGCCCACCCCCCGTGCGCGTCTCGGCCCCGCCGCCCCTGCGCTGCCCTCCTCGCTCCTGGAACCCTCACTCACCCAGAGGAGCGGGCAGAGGAGCTGGGGGCATTCTCGGCCGCAGGCGCCCCTCAGCCCCAAGTCGACGATGCGCTCTCCGGGCCACCGACAACAGGAAACGGCGCCCGCGGCGCCTGACGCCATCACGCCGGCTGGCGTGTGGCCACGCCCCCTCGGCCTGCGGAGCCAATCGCAGGGCCCCGAGGAGCAGCGGGGCGGGACCAAAGGCTCGCCCTCGCCCAGCGCTCGCCCCAAGGAGTGCATGAGAGGGCAGGGTGTCTCCTGGTGTACATTGGCGTCGGGCGGGCTGTCTCCTGGCTTCTAGGTTCCAGCCCTCGGCGCCGTCTGCCTGACGTAGGGGCTGCTGTTTCGCCTCCCTCAGCGGACTGTCGCCCCCTTGTGAGTGGTCCCAAGGACGCTGGCCCCACCTTTGCCTCCCTGCCAGGAAAACATGAGCACACCTTGGGGCGCGGGAGCGCCTAGAGGGCCTCCGGGGCGCTGTTTGCTTCGTCGCTTCTAGCCCCTTCGCGGCTGTTTGCTTTCCACCTAGCAGGTACATACACTTCCAAGTGGATTCAGAACAAAATGTCCTGAGTAGTGACCACAGCCAGTTGAAGGGCCGGGCAGGCGTCTTGGCAGGGGCTGTGGGCTCTGGGCACTTGCTTGCAGGCCTTGGCCAAATGGAAGCCCGGGGCCTGAGTGGGTGTGGGTGTTGGGGGGAGCCGCCATGTGCAAGTGCTTTGAGGGCACGGAGCGGTGGCTGGGGAAACAGCCCAGTTCTTGGAACCAAGTTCCACTGGCCTTGGCCAGGGGTCATGTGTTCCCTTGCGTCTCCAGGAAGGACTGCGTCCCTCAAATCTCCAGAAAGGTTGGGGTCCCAGGGCCTACTTCCGTTTGTAAGACCGACGGCTGGAGTTGGGGCTGGGACAGTATGCGGGCTGCCTCTGGGTGATCCTCTCCAGGCGTGAGAACCTCCCCGGCTCTGATGGGGCTGTGGGCGTTCAGTGTAGTTAATGGTTGAGCACTGTGGTTTTAAAATAAGGCCATAGAGACTAATTATTCACTTGGTGTTAAACTCATTTTAAACAGAGTGGGAAGTAGGAATTTTCTAGGGAAATCCAGTTACTGTGGCATAAGGATAATGTTTCTCATCATAACTGGCACAGCAAAGAGCACTGGTGGCTTGGCACAGGACGCCCTGCCCCAAATCGAGCACATTATGTCCTTCTGTGCTTTGTGCACAGCCGCCATCCTCGGGTGCTATGGGGAGCTCCTCGGACTAATCTCTTATCTGCTGTTCAGGAGTCTCTGTCTCTGTCTCTGTCTCTCTCTCTCTTTTTTTTTTTTTTTGACAGGTGAAGTCATAGACAGTGAGAGAGAGAGAGAGACAGAGAGAAAGGTCTTCCTTCCGTTGGATCACTCCCCAAATGGCCACTACAGCTGGAGCCAGGTGCTTCCTCCTGGTCTCCCATGTGGGTGCAGGGCCCAAGCACTTGGGCCATCCTCCATTACTCTCCCGGGCTACAACAGAGAGCTGGACTGGAAGAGGAGCAACCGGGACTAGAACCGGCACCCATATGGGATGCCGGCGCCACAGGCGGAGGATTAACCAAGTGAGCCACGGCGCCGGCCCATGGAGTCTCTGTCTCTTGGTCTTCCCTTCCTTCCTAGGCCTTCAGCCTTGCCAAAGAGTCCAAAGGCTTGTCTATCTCTTCTCATCTGGCTCAACAGGCCCTTGTGAAACTGCATAAGAGTATGGTCCTAGGAGTGGGCCGGAGGTGGGCAGGAGGGAAATGCCACAAATGTATACTCACAGTGCACATGTCACAAAATATCTCGTATATGGACCAGGAGTCCACCAGAAATACTCCAGATGGAGAAATAAGTCTCATGTTACCATTTGAGCAATAATAAAGGCTTCTGCAGTTTGCTGTGGGAGCAGAAAGGAGAACTTGGGAGGTGCCCTGGAGGAGGGTCATGTGTCTAGAAACGCATGAACGACTGCTAGGAGTTGAGGCTAAAGGGTTATTTCAATCTGGCTTCCATCTCTGATACTCCCTTGGCTTATCTCACTCCCTTGGCTTCTGGTAACAGAACCTCCCTCTCATTGTACTTTTGGGATGAGCCTCCTCTATTCCATGTGATTCTGTTGGGATCAGGTTATTGGTTTAATACCCCCACCCCAAGATGTGCACATGACCTTGGTTGGTCAGTCTCCTTTTCCTTGACCCATGTCCCAAGGTTTTTTCTGAAATGTCTGCTCTCTCTGGCAGTGTCACATTGGAATTACACCTGTCTTTGCAGACAAAGGGCCCAACTCCTCCCAAGAGCAAAGCCATCACAGAGGACAGCAGAGTGGAGAAACAGACAGGGGAAGATAACACTGTTTGAGCCATGGGTGCAGCCATATGTGAATATTGTCATTTTTTTTTTCTTTTTGGCAGGTAGAGTTATAGACATTGAGAGAGAGAAAGACAGAGAGAAAGGTCTTCCTTCCATTGGTTCACTCCCCAAATGGCCGCCACGGCTGGTGCTGTGCCAATCCGAAGCCAGGAGGCAGGTGCCTCCTCCTGGTCTCCCATGCAGGTGCAGGGTCCAAGCACTTGGGCCATCCTCCAGTGCCCTCCTGGGCCACAGCAGAGAGCTGGACTGGAAGAGGAGCAACTGGGACTAGAAACCAGCACCCATATTGGATGCCAGCGCCGCAGGCGGAGGATTAACCATGTGAGCCGTGGCACCGGCCTGGAATATTGTCTTTTTAAACTTGGGCAAGTTATCTATCCCCAAACCTAGCTTCTTCATCTGTTAACTGGGGAGAATAAGATCTCAATGGTAGCTATAAGATTTAAATGAGTTAACATGCATACATAACATATGATTGCTCTACATGATATTGTAACATGTTTGTAGATGATACATGATTTACTTTCCCTGCAAACAGTGTTTGGTGCACATATGTCTTCAGAGGTCCTCCTAGGATCTGTAGCGGTAGGCTGGACATCACTGCTCCAGAGGTTCCATTTTTGAGCCAGACAACTTTGTGTTGTTGCCTTTTGACCCCTGTACATTCTTTCTCTGAGAACAGACTTTGGGGTCCTAGTTCCTTCTACCTCATTCCCACCGTAGCTGCCTGGGTGCAGGCCACTTCTTAGTAGGATCCCCACCCCCTACCCCATCCAGTCTCAGACTTGCTGAGCAGGTGAGTGCTTAGAAGCCTGCATGTGATCAAATACTCATTTCTGTTGCAGAACGAGGTACAGCTTTACCAGGAACTATGGCTGCTGGTTATTCATGCGGAATAAATTTCTCAGGGGGAAAAAAGCCCATCAACCAGTATGTGTCAGCTAGTTGAGTCTTTCCTTCAATGTTTTCCTGGTGTTTATTAATTCACCTTGTTACCTCAGAGCTCCTAGGAGCAGAGAGGGTGGCAGGAACCAAAAAGTTTAAGCTGTGAAACAAAACAAAATGTGAAACCCTATTGTCTATTACCTTATTTTGTTGCGAGCAAGTTGCAAAGTGATTTCCTATGAACCACTGACCAAGTACAATGACCCCCATGTGGGGATTCGTAATTCCTAATTTGTTTTTTCAAGTTCAACTTAAAAATATCTAATAGAAACACATGATATAAAATTCAAAAGGGGATACTGTTCTACCTCCCAGTTACCACCCCCCCCCCCATGAAGGTAGCATTACCAGTTTCTTGTGTTTCCTAAAATTACTCTGTGCCAGCTTGTCCACAGAACTGTATGATTAAAATAGCCTGCTGCACTGGCCAGTGTGGTAGTCTTTAGCCACACACAGCTACCGAGTGCTTGAAATGTGGCTTTGGGGCGGGCACTTGTCTCAGCAGTTCAGCTGCCTCTTGGGATCACTACATCCCACGTCAGGATGCCTGGTTGGAATCCTGGCTCTGCTCCTGATTCCGGCTTCCTGCTGATGCAGACCTAGGGAGGCAGCAGGTGGTGCCTCAAGAACTTGGGTTACTGCCACCAGTGTAGGAGATGTAAATGGAGTTCTGGGCTCTTGGCTTCTGCCAGGCGCAGCCACAGCTATTGTGGGCATTTGGGGAAGTGAATCAGCAGAGAGAAGATCTTTCTGTCTCTCTGCCTTTCAAATAAAATGAACATAGATAAGTAAAATATTTTTAATGTGGTTTATTGTTACTCAAGAGTTGACATTTAAATTTTGCTTAATTTGTATTTATTTTTTAAAGATTTATTTATTTATTTGAAAGTCAGAGTTACACAGAGAGAGGAGAGGCAGAGAGAGAGGTCTTCCATCCGCTGGTTCACTCCCCAGATGGCCGCAATGGCTGGAGCTGTACTGATCTGAAGCCAGGAGCCAGGAGCTTCTTCCAGGTCTCCCACATGGGTGCAGGGGCCCAAGGACTTGGGCAATCTTCTACTGCTTTCCCAGGCCATAGCAGAGAGCTGGATTGGAAGAGGAGCAGCCGGGACTCGAACCAGTGCCCATATGGGATGCCCGCGCTTCAGGCCAGCGCATTAACCCACTGCACCACAGCACCGGCCCCAATTTGTATTAATTTAAATAGCCATGTGTGGCTAGTGGCTACTATATAAGACACAGTTCTGTACAGATAATGGGTAACACACAGTAGCCACTATGGTTAGACTGTTCCCTCCCACCCAAAATTCATACATTGGAATCTTAATCCCCAAATTCATATGCTCCTGGTATTTGGTGGTGGGGCCTTTGGGACGTACTTAGGATTAGATGAGGCCATGACAGTGGGGCCCTGGTGATGGCATTAATAGCTTCATAGGAAGAGGAAGAGACCTGCCTAGCACACTTGGCCTGTCTGCACATGGGATGCTCTCTGCTGTGTTATAATGCAGTCAGGAGGCCCTCACCACGTGCCAAGCAGATGCCTGTACCATGCGCTTGGACTTCGCAGCTTCCAGAATCGTGAGCCGGATGAACCACTCACTGTTCCTTATAAATCACCCCATTTTAGATATTTTGTTGTAGTAACAGAAAACAGCCTAAGACAGTAGTATACTTTACACACAACACTACTTATTGCTTTGTTCACTTAACAACACCTATCTGTCTTGGAGTTCTGTGCTCCAAGTTGAAATGTGGCTTTGGGGTGGGCATTTGTCTCAGCAGTTCAGCTGCCTCTTGGAATCACTGCATCCCGCGTCAGGATGCCTGGTTGGAATCCTGGCTCTGCTCCTGATTCCGGCTTCCTGCTGATGCAGACCTAGGGAGGCAGCAGGTGGTGCCTCCTCCTATCTGGAGTTGCTGTCTCCCTCATTTTTCATTAACTGCTGTATCCTCCTATATTGCATAAAGACAATCCTTTACCCTGCCTGGAGAACCATGGGCTATCATTTCATAACAAGCTCTAAAATCTTCCTCAAATATCATAACCAAGACATGATAACCAAGGTTCTCCACCCTTCCATAAGTCATCAGCCTGGGCCTGAGATAGCTTGACACTAACTAATTCCTTTGAGGAACTCAGGGTGCAGGGTGAGGGGGAGAATTTACCATGAGTCACTGCCCTGAAATACATTCGTGACATGTGTGCCCATGCCCAGAACTCAGTGGTAACTGGCATTTTGCAGGGCGGGGGAAGGGAGGGTGTTGCCTCTTTATGTGGTTCTCCTTTAAAGAACAAGGTCTCCTGAGAAAGGCAGCAGTTAAGGTGGGGGGCATCTGGGGCTGCTCTTGCTTTTCTTCGGAGAGCGGCTAAGGGGCACTGTGCAGCAGTAGGGGCTCTGGTGGCGAATCCCACTGCCTTACATCTGTCCTGAAGCCATGGGGCTCCCTGGCTGGTGCTGTGGCTTTAGACAGCCTCCTTTTAGGATACTTCAGGTGATGACAAGCTTTGAAACTCCCCAGTTTGACATGGCCTCTAGAGAAAGAAATTGCATTAACCTGTTTCAATGTCTGTCTCTTTCTTCTCGAAGTCTCCATGAGGCAGTAGATACAGCATGTGGTGTCGGATGGATCTGGGTACAGATTTCAGCTCCAGATGGCACAACCCTCTTCACAGAATATAGGTGAATACTTGGTGCACTATGTGCAGAGCTTTAGGAAATCAGTCTGTTTCCTAACCAGTCATGTGGGGGGAATGAAGGAACCTTCTAAAATGCATCCAGTAATATTGCTGAGTCATCCCTAAGGGCAGCGCTGATGCCAGGCATCGGGGGAAGAACATGGGAGCTGTGTGGAGGAGGAGGACATGTGATTCTTACCTTGTCATGGTTCCTGACCGGCAGAGAACTGTGGGCGAGTGGCAGACACTGCCTTTCACTAGCTCATTTCCAACCTCTAGAAAGTGGGCCTGGGACAGAGGGAATTATGGGCCCCGATTCCTTGCCCCTGTCTGATCCACACACTTGCCATGACCTCCTTGAGGGTGGACTGTCCTTTCCTGGCCCCTGGCTTTGGGCTTGCCCAGGCAGCTTGCTTTGGCCCATAGAACGAAGAAGGAAAGAGCGTGGGGTCAGAGCCTGGGCTTGAAGAGGCCTTGGGAGTTTCTATCCCCTCATGTGCTTCAGCCTTCGCCGTGAGAAGAGCGTCTCTTAGGTAGGGGCCGCCTCTTCAGCCTGGGCCCCAGAATGGACATCACTGGACCAGAGGCTCCCCTCCCCTGCGGGAGAAGCAGAGCTAATCCTGGCAGCACAGCGCCTAAGCGTAACTATACCTCCAAGCCACAGACCTGCAGGAATCATGATGGTGACTCACTCTGTTTCAGGATGGTGTATTACCTAGCATTATTGGGGCCATGGATAACCTTGATGAGGTTATAGGTTCAGGGGCTCCGAGAGAGACCCAACATAATAGTCAGTTAAATAAGAAAGCAGTTTATTGGGCTCCTGTGCAATAATCTGGTTGAGAAGTCCTGGGCTAGTTTGGTGGCTCGTGTGTCACAGGTACCTTTTATTGTTCTGCCTTTCTTACAGTGTGACCTTCATCCACATGAAGTTTTCTTACCCTTCACAGGTTCGGGTCTTCACTTCCTTCTACCCTGCAAACCCAAACACCCACAGGGTGGTACCAAACCTTTTTTCCACTATTACCCTCTAACACCTAAAGCTTCAACTTGAGCTAGATTTTCAGCTGGCATCTGAAGTAGAATCAGTCTTGTGGGACTGAGCCCTTAGTCTGTGGGATCTGACACTAACTGTGTCACAATTGCATTCAATTCTTGGCTACCAGTTGGTGTTCACAGAGAAGCAGAGACTTGCTTGGTTTGGGAACAGCTAGTCCCACCCACAGTACACGTCAGAAGTGACGTAGTGACGGACTAGAGTGAGAGCAGTAATGGGGGAAAACTATGCAGGAAGTTTTGATATATGTTTACAAATTCTTTGACCCTTTTTTCTTCAAGAGATGGAGTCTAACGACTCTGCCCTTGAATGTGGCCTCGATCTGGTGACTGACTTCTACTTGTGCTGTGTGGCAGAAGCAGTGCCCTGGGCTGCTGTGGCCGGCTCATAACAATCATTGTCCATCTCTCCTCAGACCTCTCACTCTGGAGGGAGCCAGCCGTCCTGATGTGAGGACAGCCGGCCAGGTAGCATGTGGCCAGGCCCATACGGGGAGGAACTGAGGCCTGCCTCCAACAACCGGCACGACTTGCCCTCAGGTGAGTGGGTGAGCCACCTTGCAGGTGGATCCACCAGCCTCAGTCAAGCTTGCCGATGCCTGCAGCCCTGGCCAGTAGCTTGAGAACCTCCTGAGTGCCCCAGAGCCAGGACTGCCAAAGCCACTGCTGAACTGTTGACTTACTAGAACTCAGAGAACAGGCGTTTTACTGTTATAGAGCGTCAGATAACCAATAACTGGCTGACATGAGGGTGGAGGCGGACAGACTTGAGAGCCTCTGAGCTGGTGAAAATTAACCATGCCCAGGTCATGGTTGGAGACTTTGGTCCTGGGCATCAAGTCTTCTGGCTCCCATGATATTTGTCATGCCAACAAACCCACAGACTTTCCTGAACACAAAATTCCTTGCCCCCTGTCACAAAAAGGGGACACTAGCACCAAATAGTACAAATATAAATTAGAGTTTGGAGGGGAGATTTACATGCAGAATAATGAAAGAGTATACTCAATCCCTCAACTATTCAGACAAGAGGGATTAGGCCAGACTTAGCTTGACTGTGTCTGCCGTGGTTAGAGTTTCCCTAGGAAGCTGTATGCCCTGGAAGGTATTACTTGTTTAAAGGGACTCGTATTACTTGAGACAGGGAACAGGTAGGCCACTATCACTGGAAACTGCTTGGTGACAGAAATGATCTCATTAGAAAGGGGGAGGCTGTTCTTCCTTTGTGCTTTCTGGTATCTGCTGAGCCAGCTCTCTGCCAGGCAACCGAAAGGGAAAAGCCAAGCCCTGCCGCATCACTCCTCCTATCTGGCACCCTAGTCCCAGTTTCTGTTTAGTCTGATCTCCCAGCCAATCTCTTGATCTTTCTACTTCTAGGCCATCAGCACTCTTGTAAGACTGAGGCTTCGTCATGTCTGCTCAAACTGTCAGTAGTTTGTCCTGTTTGATCAAGTTCATGACCAGGCCTTTGAGGTCTGGTTCGCCGTCACCTAGACAGCTTCACGAATTTTCTTCTACTTCTTACACTTCATGCTCCAGAAAAGCAGACTGCGTACTCTTCCACTATTCTCTGTCTTTGTGTTGTCCCCTCTCTAGAATGCCTGTCTTTTCTCCTGTCAGCTTTGTTTAAAGGGACTCGTGTTACTTGAGACAGGGAACAGGTAGGCCACTAACACTGGAAACTGCTTGGTGACAGAAATGATCTCATTAGAAAGGGGGAGGCTGTTCTTCCTTTGTGCTTTCTGGTATCTGCTGAGCCAGCTCTTTCTTTCTTCCACATCTACTCCTTCCACGTCTACACCTCTTACACCTACTCCTTTCCACCCAGCCGAGAGCTGAACCACTCTTGGCACAAAGCCGCTGTCCTGTCCAACACAGTGTGTTTGTTGTTGTTGTTGTTGAAGATGTATTTGAAAGGCAGAGTTAGAGAGAGAGAGAGATTGAGAGAGAGAGATCTTCCATCTGCTGGTTCACTTCCCAAATGGCCTCAACAGTCAGGACTAGGCCAGGCTGAAGCCAGGAGCCTGGAACTCCATCCAGTTCTTCCACGTGGGCAGCAGGGGCTCACTGCTTGGACTATCTTCTGCCACTTTCCCAGGCACATTAGCAGGGAGCTGGATCAGAATTAGAACAGCCGGGACTCAAACCAGCGCTTATATAGGATGCCAGTGGTTTAACATGCTGTGCCATAAGGTTGGCCCCAAACAACACAATGTTGTTGATATGATTCTTATGGCTTCTCTTCTCCCAGTCCAAGAGCTCCCTGAGGAAAGAGACTCTGTCCTAGTTGATTCTTTCCCCAACACAAGGCCTGGCACAAATTCCATTGTTCTCACTGACTTTCCCTTGACCATTTAACCTTCACTCTTGTGGATCACTACTTTCTGTCTCACTTCTGCCCTAATCATCTATTGTCTCATTTTATCATCTTTCTAAAAAATGCCTCATTTCTCTCTGACAGGTTTCCTAAGAATCAATGAGAATTTCATTCATGTAGTGGCTGCTGGCCTTGTGTCCAGCTCTCGTAGTCACTCAGGCCTCAGTTAAGAGCTGATCTTCAGCCTGTGCTGTGTGGCTCACTAGGCTAATCCTCCCCCTGCGGCACCAGCACCCCGGGTTCTAGTCCCGGTTGGGGCGCCAGTTCTATCCCGGGTGCTCCTCTTCCAGTCCAGCTCTCTGCTGTGGCCCGGGAAGGCAGTGGAGGATGGCCCAGGTGCTTGGGCCCTGCACCCGCATGGGAGACCAGGAGGAAGCACCTGGCTCCTGGCTTTGGATTGGCACAGCGCGCCAGCCATAGCAGCCATTTGGGGGGAACCAACGGAAGGAAGACCTTTCTGTCTCTCTCTCTCTCTCTCACTGTCTAACTCTTCCTGGTGCTGTGGCATAGTGGGTAAAGCCACCGCCTGCATTGCTGGCATCCTATATGGGCATCAGTTTGAGTCCCGGATGGCCCACTTCCGATGCAGCTCTCTGCTATGGCAGATACTATGGAAGATGGCCCAAGTCATTGGGCCCCTGCACCCACATGGGAGACCCAGAAGAAGCTCCAGGTTCCTGGCTTTGTATCTGACTAGCTCTGGCCATTGTAGCCATTTGGGGAGTGAACCAGTGGATGGAAGATCTCTCTCGTGTGTGCTCTCTTTTTCTCTGCTTCTGCCTTTCTATAATTCTGCTTTTCAATAAATAAATAAATATATAAATCTTTACCAAAAAAATGGAGCTGATCTTCTGAGCTATAGTCTGCCTATCAGTAAGATGGAGGCAGAAGCAGCCCTATGTAGCCATGTCTTGTGCTACCTGACCCTGGATACCCCTTCCTTTTTTCGGTTACAGCCAGGGGTGTGTACCTGGTCCAAGGAAAGACAGCTCACTCATAGGCTGGCCAGACTCTAGGCTAAGACACAAACTTTGCCCAGTTCATAACAAGCTATGCAAAGCAGACTCTCACTCTTGGGAGTTTTAATAAGAACTTGGTAGCCAAGCCAAGGAGAGAGGGCTTAGAAGAAATTAACCTTGCCATCATCTTGATCTTGGACTTCTAGCCTCCAGAACTGTGAGAAAATAAGTGTATATTCTTTATTTTTTAAAAAAGAATTATTTATTTATTTGAAAGGCAGAGTGTGTGTGTTGGGGGGCACACAGAGAAAAAGGTCTTCCATCCACTGATTCACTCCCCAAATGGCCAAAACAGTGAGCGTTGGGCCAGGCTGAAGCCGGGAGCCCAGAAACTCTATCTGGATCTCCCACATGGGTGGCAAGGACCCAGACACTAAACACTGCCTTCGCAGGTGCAGTAGCAGGAAGCTGGATTGGAAGTGGAGCAGTCAGGAATTAAACTAGCGCTCTGATAAGGGATGCTGGTGTCTCAAGTGGTGGCTTAATCCACTGCACCACAAGACTCGCCCCTAAGTGTCTATTCTTTAAGTCACTTTGTTATGGAAACGGTAGCAAAATAATACACCTATGCCTCAAATAGGAGCCTGTTAAAGTATGTTTTTCAAATTATGAAGTGGTATATAAAAGCATAATAGTATTGATGACATTCATAAAATGACTAATATTAAAAAATATAGTAGGCTAATTTTTATTATTGAGACTAATAAGAATCATACAAATGTGAGATAGTGTTACATACAAAAAGTCACCTAGGCCTTATTTTGTGTATCAAATTGAGAATACTGTAAATATGCCAAACTAGGGAGCTCGAGTTGCCTGGAACCTCCACCCGGACTCTGGGTAGCCCAGCCAGGACAAGGCTCCTGTTGGTGGCTTCCTCTCAGCTTCTCTTTATATCCAGTGCTCACATTAAAATCATCCTCCATTATAAATTGTGAGCTGGCAGGGGGAGTATCTGTCCTCAGGCTCAACAGTGTGACCCAAGTGCCCAGCACTGAACCTGGCCCCTGCTAGTACTCTGTACACGGTGGCAGCCATTACCCTCCCATCAGTGTGACTGTCATTACTGACCCTGACGGCAGCCCTGTTTGTACTTCTCTTTATCCCTGACCGTCCTAGAGTTGGGCAGCAGAGTTAAGACTTGAGAGTCTGACAGCCCTGGGTTAAACCCTATCTGGTTTTGGATTGTGACCTTGAGCTGGTCACCTCCATTCCTTGAGCCCTGTTTTCCTGCTCTGTCAAATGGTGATTTAAAACAAAAAAGCCCTGCTTCCATGGATTCCTGGGCAAAATGGCACAAGACTGGAAAATGCCTGACCCAGGCTTGTCCCCAGGTGAGCAAATCGCAAGTGGTGGTATCTGCTGCCGCCCATTATTATCACTGCTTGGGCTTGCGTTTCACACGCAGGAATATGTGTTGGCTTGCTGAAGTCAGCGGGCAGAGGAAAAGGTGTTTTCCATTCTCATCAAGGAATTTAGGAGGTAACTTGGGCCGGCACGCAGCGCACAGCCAGACCAGAGAACATCCCCACCAGCCTGCGAGATGAGAGCCCCTTCTCCGACAGGAGACACATTTGTTCATGAGCTTGTGGGCTCGGGGAAAGGAGGCGGCCCCACAGAGCCGGGGCTTCTCTTCCAGGCATCCTGGCGACCCCACGGGCCCTCGGAGGAGCCAGGGGAGGGTCGTCTGTGTAAATGACGGTTCTCGTGAACCAGCGGGCACCAGGCGCCTGGTATTGGTCTGGAAAGGCTGCACCTCCAGGACGGCGTGCTCAGGCCCTCGAGACGGCCTCCCCCGGGGGAGCGCGGTGAAGGCCCCCCGAAGGATGGGCTCGTAGCCGCGCTCCCGCGTCTGTCGCCTGTGCCCTCGTGGTTTGTATAAAATGCACATCTTCATTTCTCAATACCTGGCCAGGATTACTTATGACTATCACACGCGCGAGTATGAGAAAATAAGTATTTTATAAGCAACGCTGAGAAGCCAATGTTAGAACACGTAACTGGCGGGCGGCCGGGCGGCGGTCACTCTGTGGGCTGCTCCTCCGGCGCTTCGCTCTCCTCTCCTTCGGCTGTCGACTCCGTAGGGGCCTCCTTCTCAGCTGGGGCTGCGGGGGGCTCCCTGCGAGGAGAAGAGCGCGCCAGGGCTTTCCCTCCCGCCCTCGGTCTCCTCACTTAGGTCAGGAGGTGAGGTCGCCCCGCCCTTTACCCTGCATCCTTGTTGAAAATCTCATCCTCGTCGGAAGACTCCTTGTCGTGGAGCTTCCGGGCCATGTCTGTCTTGCGCGTGGCGTTGAGCGGTCTGTACATATCCCGCAGCCAGAGGGGCCGCCTTAGCCAGAAAAAGCCCACCTAGAAAAGGAAGGAGAACCGTGAATCCTGCCTCTCCCTGCCTCCTCCAGCCGCACACCGCATCCTCAAACTTACCTGCGCCTCGCTGTCTGTGCACTTCCTGGGCGCGTGTTGGAAAAAGCCCCTGGGGGAAACACACAGACAGTTAGAGGTCGGTGCCGTTTTTTTCACGTCTCTCCCAGTGTACGTCTCTGGTGTTACCAGGACAAAATGTGTACCTCCCTCCATAGTTAGAGCAAGCAAAATCACCCCAGACCTGGCATCCTGAGAACAACTCCGCGTGTGCTGGGCTTCCTGGAGCTCCCCGTGTCTGTCCAAAAGGGCCCCCAGTGGCTCTGCAGACACCTTGCACCATCGCTTTGCATGGGCCAAGGGCAGGGTTGTCAGCCCCAGCTACTGTCTTGGGCAAGCGCCCTCGTGCAGTGAACAAACACAGCCATACTGGCAGAAGCATTTTCTCCCTCCAGGAGGGTTGACACCAGGCCCCTCGGACTGAGGCTCACGCACATCATCCCCGGGGGGTGAGGGAGAAGGTGCTTCTGCGTTCATAGCTGCTTTAGCCCCTGCAAATTGAATCACATCAAGCAATGCCGCAGTCCAAGAGCAAAGTTCCCCAGCTCAGAGATTTTCACGCTGCTGGTATCTGTCACTGATGGGAGAGTGAGTTGTGAAACCAGTTAAAGGACAAGCTAGCACCGAGACACAAGATACTCTATGGATACGAATGGAACAGAGAAAGGCAGAGTGCATTGTTTTAGCAACTGCTTATGTCTGTATAGTACGTGTATACTGACTTCTGGAGAAAATGTAGCTCGCAGCCCGAGCCCAGTGTGCTCCAGGGAGAAGTCCCAGCTGCGAAGGAACTGTCCTCTTTCTGACAGTAGCAGTGTGACCATGGGGCAAGATATTGCCCCTTTCTCCTTCTGTTTCCTTGTTGTGAAAGGGAGAGGCAAATTACAGTCTAAAGGTCTCTCCAGTTAAAGCTCTCAGAGGTTTGGGTAGGAGGAATGGGGGGGGGGGGTTTGGTCTGTCGGGTGAGACGGAAGCTTCCTGCCTCTTTAGGGAGACTCAGGCACTCTCCTCTCCAGCCACCTTGCAGGAGACTAGCCCCTCCCCCCAGTACCGTGTAGCTGTCCCCAGCCCTCGTCCAGAGCCTGCAAGGTGACCTCTACACTGGCCAGAGGCCCAGCAGCAGCAGGGGCAGCACGGCCAGAGCCTCTCCTCAGCTCCTCTGTCCTGGAAGGACTGGTGGCAGCAGACGCGCCCATGTTAGTGCTGTGTTACTAACTCAGCTTTGGCTGGGATCCAGCTTTGGTGGAGTCAGGCCAAGCGTTAGTATCCTTCCTGCCTCTGGCAGTTTCCTCACTGTAGAATAAGGCGATTGAAACAGATGAGTTCTGAGTTCTCTAGTTCTGAAATTCTAATTTTAAAAATTGCCACACTGGTGCTTACCTTGAAGATTGTTCAACATCTCCCCTGGTTCCCGCCCTGTGAGAATAAATCTGTTTTGGAAGAAGACACAATCATTATTCTCCATCACAGTGACCCCTCTCCAAATATTCTACATTCCTTTCTTTTATTTTAAGTCTCATCTACCCACTAAGATGAGAACTATTTTGAGGACAGGAGTTCTGTGCTGTTAACAGTTCTTTGACTCTTCCACAGCACCTAGCTTAGGGTCTTGCATGCATCTAGGACTTAATACATTTTACTGGCTGCTTTATTTAAAAAAAAAGTTATTTATTTATTTGAAAGACAGAGTTACAGAGGCAGAGAGAGAAGAGACAGAGAGAGAGAGAGAGAGGTCTTCCATCTGCTGGTTCACTCCCCAAATGGCTTCAATGGCTGAGCAGATCCAAAGCCAGGAGCCAGGCCTTCCTCTGGGTCTCCCATGTGGGTGCAGGGGCCCAAGCACTTGGGCCATCTTCCACTGCTTTCCCAGGCCATTAGCAGAGAGATGGATCAGAAGTGGAGCAGCCAGGATTCGAACTGGCGCCCATATGGGATGCCGGCATTGCAGGTGGCGGCTTTACCGACTACGCCACAGCGCCGGCCCCTATTGGCTGCTTTAGATAACATGAAACAGATAATTCTTAGTGAAACTTCTTAAAGGAGGAAGAAAAGGAAGCAGCTTTAACTTGATGGAAGTACAGAGCAGAAACCTAAACAATGGTGGTGTTTTCGAGTCAAGAACAAGAGTAGAATGCTTATTACGACTGCTACCATCCACCACTGTTGAGGAGGCCTCAAACAGTGCAATAAGAAAAAGTAAATGGGGTATAAATATTGCAAAGGAAGATAAAAATGTCATTATTTGCATGTAAAATGATGGACAATTTAAAAGCCCAAGAGAACCAACTAAAATTTTGTGTGAAGTGATATGTGTGTTCAGAAAAGTGGCTAGATGCCAAGTTAAGAGATCCGCACACACACACCGCAGTGGCTTTCCTGCACACCTCCAATAACTAACGGGGAAATACAAGAAAGGGCCCCATTTGTGATGGCAACAAAAAGGTATGAAGGATCTCGAAGCAACCTTCACGAAAGGTGTGTTAGATTTATGTGATGGAAACACGAAAGCCCTTTTGAGCACCATGAGAATCGTGTTCCTAGAATGTTGTAAAGATGTCAGTTCCCTTCAAATTAATCTACACAGACAGTTCAGTCTTCCTCAAATCCTAACATAACTGACCAGCGGCCGTTCTGTGGGGAAAAGATATACAAGAATAGCTGTGAACTGTATGAAAAAGGTTAGAGAGCAGGAGCTTGCCCTTCCAACATAGAACTCAAAACTCTGTCACAAAGTAACTGGAACTAAGTAGTGTCGTACAGGCACCCGTACAGGAACAAACAGAATCAACAGAAAGAGCACGGAGTCCACACAAAGCTATTTTAGGTTGGCAAAGCATGAATGAACTGTTCAATGAAAACTGTTTTAAAACAATTAAGCTGGCGCCATGGCTCACTAGGCTAATCCTCTGCCTTGTGGCACCGGCACATCGGGTTCTAATCCCGGTCAGGGCACTGGATTCTGTCCCGGTTGCCTCTCTTCCAGGCCAGCTCTCTGGTGTGCCCCGGGAAGGCAGTGAAGGATGGCCCAAGTCCTTGGGCCCTGCACCCCATGGGAGACCAGGATAAGCACTTGGCTCCTGCCATCGGATCAGTGCGATGCGCCGGTCACGGCGGCCATTGCAGGGTGAACCAACAACAAAAGGAATACCTTTCTCTCTGTCTCTCTCACTGTCCACTCTGCCTGTCAAAAATAAAAATAAAAATAAATAAATAAAAAAATTTAAAATAAAGTATAAAACAATTAGATAGTCATGTAAGGGGAGAGAGGTTAGATTCCCTACTCCAACCATACTGAAAAACAATCAATTCTAGAAGGATTAAAAATATAAATATTAACACAATGTTACTAAAGTCCTAGGAGAAAATATGAGACTTTCTTTATTCCATGAGATGACAAAGGCCTGTCTAACAAGAACCAGACCCCATCATCAGTGGGGTGAGACCGGCAGATGTGAGGACGTGGACTAGGGTCTCCCTACCCTTCTCACCCTGTGCCCCCTTTCCACTGGGTTATTAGTATTTTTTGTTGCTGGTGGTTTAGAAAAATTTTTTATAATAAATGTATTCATCATTTTGATGGTTTTATTCCAAAGTTTCTGATCTTTCCCAATATTTTTGTCTGTAAAGAGTGGAAAATCTTTTTTTTTTTTTTAAAGGGGGGGGACGGCTCTGTGGCACAGCAGGTTAACGCCCTGGCCTGAAGCGCCAGCATCCCAAATGGGCATTGGTTTTAGTCCCGGCTGCTCCTCTTCCAATCCAGCTCTCTACTATGGCCTGGGAAAGCAGTAGAAGATGGTCCAAGTCCTTGGGCCCCTGCACCCATGAGGGAGACCTGGAAGAAGCTCCTGGCTCCTGGCTTCGGATCAGCACAGCTCTGGTTGTTGCGGCCATCTGGGGAATGAACCAGCAGACGGAAGACCTCCCTCTCTGCCTCTTCTCTGTGTAACTCTGACTTTCAAATAAAATAAAAAAAATTTTTTAAAAAAGAGTGGAAAAAGAATAGAGATAATAAGGAACGCAGGCTTTGCAGTCAGGAGTTCTGGGTTTTGTCATTTGGGCCTTAAATTGGTTGCCTTAATCTGTAAAAGGGGGACTGTTGTGAGAGTTAAGAAGATGTGGAAAACTATTTGTCCCACACTTGACATACACAAGTGCTGAGTTTGCTAGCAGTGTCACAGCAAAAGCCAGCAAATCTTTCCAAGGGTTCTGATTGTGCCATCAAGCTTAGAAACCTCTTTTCCATCACAAGATAAGATATTGCTCTGATTTTATTCTCAATATTTTTTGCAGTTTCTTTTTTTAATGTTTACTGAAATATATTTAAGTTGAGAAGTAGGGATGTGTCATTGGTTGCTGCTCACACCAAGTAGTTAGAGAGCTAGGCTATTGCCATTTTCTCCCACTGACTAGGTTACAAGGCGACATTTCAGAAGTCTTGGGAACATAAGGTCTGTGTATTGCTGGGCTCTGCGTGTTAATTCCAGTAAATAATGGATTGCATTATTCCTCACTGTGGACTTGACACAGTGCCTGCCTCTCGTCCTTTGAACACCGTGATTGTCTTGCAGGTGAAACTCTGCATGCTCCCTGTCCTCACAAAACTTCTCATCTAAATGGGGACAGGAACTAATGAAAACACAAATGAACACAAATAGAAACACGCTGAAACTATGCATATATATTCAAAGCAGGGTAAGACTTTATCAGAATTTCCAAAACGCCAAAGGCCACCTGCCACCCAGAGATGCCCTGGGTACTGTCCGCAGTGGCCAGTGAGTGTCTTCACCAAGACCTTGGCGGCTGACTCCATGCGGGACCCCACCTTTTGCATTCAGAAATCAGGCTCTGTTTTCACAAAGAGCAAACTCTTTGGCAACAGTCTCACCTAATCAACACCACAGGACTGAGTGAAAATCAGCCTCCAGGTTATGACTCGACAGAACATCTGTGTCTGCATGACCAGGGAACTGCCGCCACGGCAGCCTTGCGCACAATCAGAGGACAGAATGAAGAGGGTCAGCGGAATCTAATAGAAAGAGCTGAGGGGCTGGATTCGTCCATCTCGCCACTGGACTGACTCCACGTCTTCTGCCTGGGGCTCTCCCCCTGCCCTTGTGCACGGTTAGGATGGGCACTGCCCACCTGGTCTCCTCCTCATCTGTGCTTCCGTCACTCACCAGCCCTCCTGTGGCTAGATGCGCCTTCTTTTGTAGAGGAAATAAGGCCGCAACCAGAGACGAAGGAAAGCGGACCCCTGACACTGACCTTGAGAAGTGGCTGTTCCCGGTTATCTGGTGAAGCAGCTGTGTGCGCTTACCTTGTCTAGGGAGGGAAGATGTCCTAAGCTCTGCTGTCCATAACTCCAGTCATAAATCTATCCTATAAATCTACCCCAGGTATCTCTTTTATAAACATACTGGACCATCAACCATTGGAAGTGTGGTCCTAAGTCACGTAGGCTGCGGTTTAAACCTGCCAATGCTATAACAGTTAAGGTATGATGCTGATGATCCTATAAATATTACAAGAAACTCGGGTTCGATGCTCAGTTCTCAAGAAATGATTCCCACTGAGCCCGCTGGCGTTAATAAACTGCTCACCATCCTTCACTGTCTCTGGTGCCAGTTTGAAGAAAGGGAGTTTCCCACGCCAGGCTTCTCTAACACTTTAGAAATGGTAGGGCGCCAGTCAGGCGTCCCTGGAGGCTGTGAGAAGCCCTTTGGTGCTTACACACCTTTGCTGTGCTCCATCATGTGTTGACCTTGGCATTTCTAACATTGTCTGCCACGTTTTTTAAGTTCTCAGGGGAAGGGAAAATGCCTCTTTATGGCAAATATGACAAATCTCACAGGACGTCCAGACCAGGACAAATCTCACAGGACGTCCAGACCAGGAGAGTCACAAGGCAGGCAGTGTAAAAGGGCAGAGGCAAAGGTGAAAGCACGCATGGCCTGGTGAGACGGGCATGGCGAGGGGCTGCCACGGCAGTAGAAAGGTAAACAAGGTGAGGCTGGTTGGATTGGAGGGTAGAGTCAGCATTGACCTATCATTAAGTGACTTTAAATATTCAAGCACTTGCCTGTTGGGGAAAGTAATACACCATTATGTAATTGAACAAAAGGGAAACAGAGGCAAACTCCAGGAATGGGATGTGGTAAATATAACATACTTTAGAGGTCAGTTTAGGATGCAGGATTCAGCTGCATTCACATTCCAGTGCATTAACTTGAACTATTTTCGACAGTGCCTTATACACGGGAGCGGGTGAGTGCTATGTGAATCTAATGGCTGTACAAGATAACATTTTGTTTTCTGGCAGTGTCCCGAGGACACGGACAGTTCCTTGAGGGTGGAAATTACACATTTTTCATCATTTCTACAACAAGGAAAGAAATCAGCGGTGGAAGAAAGGGAGCGGTAAGTACACCTAACCATTGACATAGTTTTGGAGAAATTTTGCCATCATATTAACTCTACCCTTAAACTTCACTTCTCAAAATGTCCACTGGCTTGTTACTTTGTTTCCAATTGCACAGGGATTTCCTGGGAGTAGAGCTCCTATAAAAATCTCTGGAGTATGCTTTTCAATAAAAGAATAAAATTCATCTCAGTGACTGGAGGAATGTCAACCAGTAGTATGTGGGCAAGCGGCTTTGATGTTGAGTTTGTGGAGTCTGGGTCTAGTATAAGGAAAGGCTGTATTCTGGAAACCTGAGTTACTCCTCCTTACCTCAATGAGGCAGAAAATTATGATCAAAATCATCACTACCACAGTCACAGATATTGCCAAGATGAGTTTGTTGTTATAACCGTATCCTGGGACTTCTTTTGTGAGCTAAAAAAAAAAAAAAGAAAGAAAAAAAAGAAATGACAGTTTAAAAATATAAAGAGAAAGTATGAATGTTTAACTATTCAAAACCCCGTTCTTCCAGATGATTGGCTTGTAGGATCTTAAAGACCATAACAAATCCAATGTGTTACATAATCTTATTATTACACACGTTCTTCTGCAGTTCATCTTGCTTGTTAGGTCTACTGCATTCTCTAAAGGAGCAAAGTGGGAAATCATTGCCTTGGCCACAGATAATGTGCCCAAGACAAGATAAGGACCAGGAGCCCCTGGTCTTCCTGCGTGGGCGCTTTAGTGGCAGCTCCTAAATGGGCAGAAAGTCCGGGTCTACGTCTCAGGTTGTCCTCACCTCTCTCGAGTCCGGCCCCTTCTGATCACTCTGGGCTTCTGTGCTCTCGTTGAGGTAATTCTCAGTTTTCCATTGGTCCGTATCCCATTCTGCCTTGGCCACCTTCACCTCCTGCTGCTCACTGAGGAGCTTCATCAGGAGGCCTGTCCTGGAGATGAGCTTGGCACAGGCCAGTTGCACATGGGTCTCCGAGCAGTCCATTTTCAGAGTCCGGATAACATGAGAAATGAGCCTTCTCACGTCGTTGTTGGGGATGAGGGAGCGGAGCTGCTGGTTGAGCTGAATTTCAAACTCATCCCCCGGGGACAACAGGGAGGGGTAGGTGAAGTCTGCGGGTGTGGAGGGGGCGTCAGTGCTCATGTTGGGGTGCTCCCGTTGCGTCTCATTGGTGTGTTTAGTGGTCGGCTTCGGGCTGAGTGCAGTCCCAGCAGAACCTGCAGCCAAAGGATTCTCCAGGGTTGTGTTGGCAGGGAGTGTTTCTTCCAGCTCAACCATGTTTTCTACCAAAGTGTTTCCTTCCAAATCGTCTCCCATAGAAGGGTTTTCTTCAGTAACGTTTTCCAAGACAACCTCTTCCAGAGTGGGACTTCGCTGAGAAGTCAGGTCTCCCGGGGACGAGAAGGCCTCTCGGGAAGGCGAGCCTATGAGACTCCGCAATGCAAGGAAGGCAGGCCTCTTTACAGACACCTGTGTGTTGAGGGGAGTTTTCCTTCTGAACTTCCGACTCAGTTTGGCCTTGGGGGTTCTGAGGACCAGATGAGAGCGGGTTTTAGGAAAGCGGTAATTTGGTTCAGAATAGATTGGTTTTGCTGCCTCTGTCTTTTTCACTCTAGCATTTGCGTCTTCTAAAACAAGCATGGTGTAGGTTAAGTCTTTCCCTTTGTTGTTGAACTCAGGGAGAGGTTCTACGAGGGAGACAGCAGAAGACCTGCCCACGATGTGTTCCTGCAGCACAGGGGAGGCCACGGCCTCGTGTCCCTTTGTGAGCGAGGGCTCAGCGTGGAGGGAGTTTCCCACCCCCTGGCTGGGCCGCTGCACCGCGTGGTTAAGCTCCTCCAGCTCGCCAGGGCCTGCCCTCCCCAGCCCACCTTCAGCGAAGCTCCCCCCGAGGGGCCCTGCTCTCTGTCTCCTGATGCTCTGCTTTCTCCTCTCCTGGCGGAGCCTTTTCTGTAAGCCCTTCAGCCCCTTGACGACTTTTTTCACTCTCTGCAGCCTTCGCCCTCCGCTGGGAGTGGTCGCCAGGCTGTTCTGCTGTGACTGGGCAATTTCCAATTTCTTTAAGAAGATTTGGCGTTTAAATTTGGGACCTAACAGCATGGGCTGCATAAGCATGGCGGCTTTTTCTCTTCTTTTAACCGCATTAATTTTTGCTTGAATTTCTGCATTTAACAAGTTTTCTAGGAAACGAAGCTTTCTCAATTTGCTTTCGTAAGGTTTTACAAAGGGGATTCTTGGATTGGTTTCCAAGGAACCCAAAGACTTATCTCCTTGTGTGCTAGAAAAAAGCAGTTTAATGAATGGTAATAATGTTGATTCTACATCTTCTAGATTGCCCTCTGAGAAATAAGGCAGTATGTAGTTTAATGCACTAATTACGTCACTTTCGTCATTAAAGTCTAGCGGCTCATTCGTGGCGTATGCAACGTTGAGCTGTTTTCTTTCCGACATTTCCACCTCTGGCTCAATAATGAGCTCCGTGCTGGTGTTCTTCTTCCGGGCCTGCAGTGCCTTCATGAATTCCCCTTTGGGATTCCCTATAGATGCTTCTTCAACTGTTAGAAGAAGAAGAAGAGAGTGCTTTGACAACAGAAGACTGCTGGGACAGCTCTATGTCAGTCCACAGTCGCACATCCCCATCAATTAAGTTGAGAGTCCCCAGTATTTGGGTGTCATTTAGAAAAATAAACCCAAACTGAAGCCTGTGAAATGGCAACACCAGGAGAAGGAAAGTCTTTTGAAGGAGTGGCCCTCAGCAGAGTCCGCAGTGTGAAAAGCAGTGGCTGTGTTTAGGATTATTCCCTTGGTCCCCAGTGGCCGAATGCCCAGTACCCAGTAAAAGCCCAAGGCTGGGAGACAGACAGTTCCCACGCGCTGGGGCCTCTGCAGCTCTGTCCACCCACAGTCACGTTCTCCACCGTCCTGTCTCAGGTTCCAAGGGAGCACCAGGCTCCCCCTCACCTGCTTCCAGTGACCTCGTGTTCTTGCTGCCGCTAACAGGTGACCACAGTGAGAGACAGTCACGTGAGCGGAGCTGGGGCCGAGATGCTAGAACAGGGGCCCTCCTCCTCACCCCGACGTGTCCTTTTCCCCTGACGTACCAGTTCCTTCACTTGGTCCCTGCGCCCGTGTTTCCTACCCCACCCCCAACCACGAAAGGCTCCGTGTAGGGAAGACACATACATCCACCCTGGCGCTTTCTGTAACTCTGGGCAGGGGTCTGGGGTGTAGGTGAAGAGGCCTGCAGGTTGCGGGTGGTGTGTCTGGGCAACGTTCAGTGAGTCTCGGGGATGAGTGTGTGGGAGACGTTGTCTGAGTTCTAGATGCAGAAGGGAAAAGCGGTTTTGCAGATGCCTGCTTTGCTTTCATTTCCAATATTTCCAGCTCCGCGTAGGGAGCCATCCAACGCTTCAAGCGTGCCATTGTGCGGCTGGCTCTCTTTTCCAGACCCTCCAGTGAGGGTCTTCGGAAGAGGTAAGAATCATGAGCACGAAGGAACGTGGGCTTGTGGAGAGCCCAAAATTAGACAAAAGACCTGGGTGCCCAGCTCCAACATTTAGCACCTCTGGCCTTGTTTTTTCCCTCATCTGTAAAAGCAGATTAAAAATGCTTATTTTGGCCGGCGCCGTGGCTTACTAGGCTAATCCTCCGCCTTGCGGCGTCGGCACACCAGGTTCTAGTCCCGTTCAGGGCACCGGATTCTGTCCCAGTTGCCCCTCTTCCAGGCCAGCTCTCTGCTGTGGCCAGGGAGTGCAGTGGAGGATGGCCCAAGTGCTTGGGCCCTGCACCCCATGGGAGACAGGAGAAGCACCTGGCTCCTGCCATCGGATCAGCGCGGTGCGCCGGCCGCAGCACGCCGGCCGCGGCGGCCATTGGAGGGTAAACCAATGGCAAAAGGAAGATCTTTCTCTCGGTCTCTCTCTCACTGTCCACTCTGCCTGTCAAAAAAAAAAAATGCTTATTTTGCCTACTTCTTTAAAAAAAAATTATACATTTGAGAGGCAGAGTCAGAGAGAGAGAGGGAGCGATTTTCCATCTGCTGGTTCACTCCCCAAATGATTTCAACGGCCAGAGCTGGAATGATCCGAAGCCAGGAACCAGTAGCTTTCTCCAGGTCTCCCACATGGGTGCAGGGGCCCAAGCACTTGGGTCATCTTCCACTGCTTTCTCAGGCCATTAGCAGGGAGCTGGATTGGAAGTAGGGCAACTGGGACTTGAACCATCTGGGATGCCAGTGCCACAGGCAGAGGCTTAACCTGCTACGCCATAGCACTGGCCATTACCTACCTGTTAAGGAGAAGGCAGTAATACAATAGGGGGAAAACTGTTTTGGAAAGTAAGCAGCTCTGTCTGTACACATATACAATTAGAAATGTGCTAATGCTCCAGATCCCATAGAGAGCTGTATTCAAGCTGTCTGGAGAAGCAGCCACATTTTAAGTCACAAAGTTAGTGGCAATAAAACCACTTAAAAGCACCTGGGTGTTCTGTAGATAGAAAAGCTCAAGATTCAGAACAGGTTCAAAATTGAACAGCCTACGAATGGAAGGGCCTTCCTCTCCGTCAGAGGAGCCAGCAGCCGTTTCTGGTTGTGGAGCCAGAAACCAGCCTCTAAATAACAGCATCACTCGTACTCTTTTATATGATTGTGGAAACAAAGAAAGCAAAACTGATCTACAGCTGTCCTATGAGGCAGTGGCACGTGACGTCTAATGCATGTAAAATCAGTTTACACACTGCATTGCTGTGCACAAGTGAATTATCATTAGATAAAGCACCAAGCTAAGAGCACAGAACATCGTGTGGCCACCAGTGTCGCTCTCTTCCCCTTGTGTTTCTTTATCATGGTCCTTTATGCAGCATCAAATTTTGTAAAGGTAACAGGGAACCTGATGTTCATCAAGAGAGCACTTCAGAAATTGAGGGAGTTTAACTCTGAAGGAATGAATACAAATAAAGCAATTATACTATTACTTTAAACACTTATCCTCAATTTAACAATAAGAAATTAAAAGCAAATGATAGAAAATTTTTAAAAATGTATCTCCAGGCGATAGACTCACGACAGCGTGTGGTGTTTGTCAGACATGCACTGCCACAATGCAGCTTGACTGTCCTGCAGACAACCTCAATGTTACTTTTAAATTGGCAGAGGCAGCAGGCCATATGGCTAGGTAGGATCCTGTAAATGGAAACACAGAGAATCAAGTTAGTCATGAAAGGCTTACTTGAGTTGATGGAGGAGGCAGACCAAGGCTGTGAAAAGTTCCTGAGGTATATGGCCAAGACAGTTGGGTAGGACCTGATGGCCAAGGGCCGCTCTTAAATGTTGCAAATTTAGGAAGCAGGCAGAGGTGCCCAACAGAAAGGTAAGCATGGCAGTCGGTATGGTATGTTCAAAATAGGATGACAGGGATTAGAAATCGGGTGCTTTTGACCTGTGGTTTTACTCACAAGTATCTCCTCTCAACTGAAAAGTCTCACTTTGGGTTGGGAGTGCACAGGATGACAGCAGGTTTTTTTTAATTTAAGATTTATTTTATTTATTTGAAGGGCAAAGTTACAGAGAGGGAGGGAAGGAGAGAAGGAGAGAGGGGGAGGGATAGGGGGAGGGGGAGGGAGAGGGGTCTTCCATCCGCTGGTTCACTCCCCAAATGGCCGAAATGGCTGGGACTGGGCCAGGCCAAAGGCAGGAGCTTCTTCCAGATCTCCCATGTGGGTGCAGGGCCCCAAGGACTTGGGCCATCTTCTGCTGCTTTCTCAGGTGTATTAACAGGGAGCTGGATCAGAAGTAGAGCAGCTGGGACTCTGCTGATGTGGCAGGTGGCGGCTTAACCCACTACTGCACAGTGCCAGCTCCAGCAGACTTCTAAGAAGAGTGTGAATAAGCCCCCAGTCTCTGGAGTCCCTTTCTCAATTGACGTGGGAAGTATCCACTATTAGAAATTACTTTAGCCACAGAAAAGGATTGACCATTAGTAACTGTTGGAAAAAATATGCAGAAAAAGGACCTCTCAATCAGTGTTGGGGTATGCAAAAATGGTTTGACAAGGACAGGCATTTGGCCCCGTGATGAAGATGCTGCCTGGGTTCAAATCCTGGCTCCACTTTTGATTCCAGCTTCCTGCAGCGAGCACTTTGCGAGGTGTCAGGTAATGGCTCAACAAATACCCAGAAGTGGAATGGCTGGAACATATGGTAGATCTGTGTAGATCTGTGTTTAAGTTTTTAAGATATTGTCACTTTTTATTAATTTTTAACTTTTATTTAATATTTTTTTTTCATTTTTAAACTTTTATTTAATAATTTTTTAAAAAATAATTTTATTTTAAAAAATTATTTGAGGGGCTGGCATTGTGGCATAGCAGGTTAAGTCACCACCTGTGACACCAGGGTCCCATAAGGACACCAGTTTGAGTTCCAGCTGATCCACTGCTGATCCAGCTCCCTGCTAATGCACCTGGGAGAGCAGCAGAAGGTGGTCTAAGTGCTTGGGCCCCTGCACCCACATGGGTAGCCCGGAAGAAGATTCTGGCTTCTGACTTCAGACTGGCCCAGCTCCGGCCATAGTAGCCAGTGGGTGGAAGTGAACCAGCAGATGGAAGATTCTCACACACACACTGTGTGTGTTTGTGTGTGTGTGTGTAAACTCTGCCTTTCAAATAAATAAATATTTTTTAAAATTATTTTTTAAAATTTATTTGAAAGGCAGAGACACAGAGAGAAATATGGGGACAGACAGACATCATCATCAGTTGGTTCACTCCCCAGATGCCTGCAATACCCAGGGCTGGGCCAGGCTGAAACCAGGATCCCAGTACTCAGTTTGTGTCTCCCACGTGGATGGCAAGGACCCACATACATGGGCCATCACCTGCTGCCCCCTAGGGTGTACATTAGCAGGAAGCTGGAGTTGGGAGTGAGTCTGGGACTTGAACCTGGCCACTATCCTGTGGGAGATGGGTGTCCCAGGTGGTGGCTTACAGCTGCACCAAATGCCTGCCCTTGGAGCAGCTTCACTTGTAACAGCCAAGAATTGGAACAACCCAAGTGTCCGCCAACAGGTGAACGGATAAATTACGGTATATTCATATAATGAAATTCTATTCAAAAATGTTAAAAATGAACTATTGAGACAGACACCAAGAATGTCTTAATCATGCTGAATGAAAGAATATGGTTAGAGAGTGCATGCTGGGGCCTCATCATCCCGACCATGTTATGACTTTTTTTAAAATCTAGAATCCAATCAAACATGAGGCATTGCATTTAGTTTTTATAATTCTTTAGTTTTCTTTAATTTAGTACTCTCCTCTCTTATAAAAATGGTTCATGGCAATGACATTTGTGAAGTATTCAAGCCTATTGTTTTATGGAATGTACTTCTGTTTTGGTAGGGTCAACCTAAATGTAATCACCAGGGAAAATTTCTAGCAAGCATATTGCATCTTGCGTAGGGAATATCGTACTTCTTCCTGTTCACCAAAATGGATGAGCTAGAAATAATGCAAGTGATTATAAACGTAAATTATTATTTAAAAGTATATCAGCAAGTCTTTGAGATTACAAATGACCTGAGATAAATATTATCCTTACTGTAGCATAATTATTTTTCAGTGTGCATTAAAGACTATTACACATGAGTCAGGACTCCAGTGAGCTGGCCTACTTTGTCTAAACTAAATGTCTGAAGCTTTGAAGACTTCCAATAATGAATCGCAGTACAGAGCAGCTATAAATTGTTGTGGCCTTGGTGGTGAACAGCTATAGAAATTGATAACACTTTCCCTATCCACCAATAGCCAAGAAAAATAGAAAAGCAGGTGGAACCCCACTGCCAAGGCTAACTGAGAAAGCTTGCTGATGATGAGGGCTTCGGCAGTCTGGACAGGAAGGCATCTTGCCGACAGGGGAGGGATCAACTCTGGCAGGTGCTGCCTAAGGTTGAGGGAGAGGAGGCTAGAGCAGAAACCAGTGGCTCTGACAATGTGGGAAAGTTAGTCAAAGAGGTGATCAGATAGAAGTGATTGGAGCAAGGTGCTATGTGAGGGGCCTTTCCCCATTCTTATCTTGTATAATCCCCTCAACTAGTCTTAGCGTAGGTATTGGAGAGAGGACGGCACAATTTAAGCTACTGTCACAGTAGGGCCCTACAAAAACATTCTTTAAAAACATTTGTTTATTTGAAAGGCAGAGTTACAGACAGAGAGGGAGAGACAGAGAGGGAGGTCTTCAATCCACTAGTTCACTCCCCAGATGGCTGCAGTTCTTCCAGGTCTCCCATGTGGGTGCAGGGGCCCAAGTGCTTGGAACATCTTCAGCTGCTTTGCCAGGCCATCAGCAGGGAGCTGGATTGGCAGTGGAGCATCCAGAACATGAACGGTGTCCATATGGGATGCCAGTGCTACACGCAGATGCTTAACCTACTACGCCACAGTGCCAGTCCCCAAAAATAATTTTTTAACTGCAAAAAATGAAATGCTTCACACTCTACATGAAAATGAACACAAAATGGATCATAAACTTGAATGTAATAAAACAATTTCTAGGAGAAAACATAGGAGAAAATCTTTGTGACTTTGGATTATTCAATAGGTTCTTACACAAAGATTTTTTTTGGAAGACATAAAAAAAGCACAACCATATAAAAAAAAACTGCTGAGTGTTCACCAAAGTTAAAAAATGTAAAGCTTCTGAGGCAGGCGCTGTGGTGCATGCTCCACTTCCAATCCAGCTCCCTGCTAATGACCTGGGAAAGCAGTGGATGATGGCCAAGTGCTCGGGCCCTTGCATCCATGTGGGAGACCCATAAGAAGCTCCTGGTTATTGCAGCCACGCGGGGATTCAGCCAGTGGAGGAAAGACCTCTCTGTTTCTCCCTCTCTCTGTCTGTAACTCTGCCTCTCAAATAAACAAATAAATCTTAAAAATTTTGTAAAACTTCTGCTCTTCGAAATATACTATTAGTAGAATAAAAAGACACATCACAAGCAGAAAGAATATATTAACTAAACATACATCTGAGAGAAAGTACTAGTACCCAGGGTATACAAAGCACTCTTAAAACTCGGTAAAATTAGTATCAAATTAGTATAGGGGAACAGATTTCAACAGATACTTCATAAAGCTATTTGCATAACACTATCAGTTACTAAAGAAATGAGCGTGCAGGAGGTCTGGCCTAGTGGTAGTGTACCGGTTGTCAGGATGGCTGAGTCTCACATCCCAGTGCTTGATTTCAATCCTTGGCTCCAGCTCCTGATTCCAGCCTCCTGCCAATGCGTTCCCTTGCCTTCCTTGGCTTGAGTAGTTGGGTTCCTGCCACCTACCTGGAGGACCTGTGTTGAGTTCCTAGCTCCAGTCCCAGCCTAGCCCTGGCCATTGTGGACATTTGGGGAGTGGCCTAGTAGATGGGATCTCTGTGTGTCTGTCTCTGTTTTTTTCTGTTTGTTTGTTTTTGTTTTTGTTTTTTTTTTTTTTTTGCTAGAAGATATTACTGTATACCCTAGCAGAAAGACTAAATTTTTTTTAAATGCTACTCAGTTATTAACTTCTTTAAAAGGCAGAGAGAGGGGCTGGTGCTGTGGTATAGTAAGCTAAACCTCTGCCTGTGGTGCTGGCATGTCATATGGGCACCAGTTCCAGTCCCGGCTGCTCCTCTTCTGATCCAGCTCTCTTCTAATGGCCTGGGAAAGCAGTAGAAGACGGCCCAAGTGCTTGGGTCCCTCCTGTACCCACATGGGAGACCTGGAAGAAGCTCCTGGCTCCTGGCTTTAGATTGGCCCAGTTCCAGCTGTGGCAGCCATTTGGGGAGTTAACCATTAGATGGAAGTGTGCTCTCTCTCTGTCTCTCTCTGTCTCTCTCTGCTTCTGCCTCTCTGTAACTCTGCCTTTCAAATAAATAATTAAATCTTTAAAAAAAATAAGAAGGGAAAACATGTTTACACAAAGACCTACCTGTGAATATTATTAGCAGCTTTATTCATAATTGCAAAAAAAGAGGAAAAAAATCCAGATATCCATATACTGATGAATGGATAAACAAACTGATATACACACGCACCTGGAATACTACTCAGCAACAGCATTGCTGATGGAGGCAACAAAATGGGTAACAGCATAATCTCAAAAGGATTGTGCTAAGTAAAGAAGCCAGACACAGAAGGCTACATACACTGCATGACTTCTCTTACAAGACACTGTGGGAAAGGCAGAACCGAGAGAGACGCACAAGATGGGTGGTTGGCAGGTGCTGGGGTTGGGGGGAGAGCATGGACTGCAAAGGTCAGGAGGGGCCTTTCGGGGGTGATAGAAATGGTCTACTTTGGGAATTTGGTGGTGGTTGTATAACTACACATTTGTCAAAACTCGTCAAACTGTGTACTTAAAAGTGAATTTTATTATAGGAAAATTATACCTGAATAGCTGATTTAAGAAAACAGTAAAATTGGGTTTGGCATTGTGGCACAGTGGGTAAAGCCGACGCCTGCAGTGCTAGCATCCCATATGGGCACCGGTTTGAGCCCGGCTGCTCTACTTCTGTTCCAGCTCCCTGCTAATGCACCTGGGGAAGCAACAGAAGATGGCCCAAGTCCTTGGGCCCCTGCACCTGCGTGGGAGACCCGGAAGACACTCCTGGCTCCTGGCTTTGGATTGGTGCAACTCCGGACATTGTGGCCATTTGGGGAGTGAACCAACAGATGGAAGGCCTCTCTCTCTCTCTCTCTTTCTCTGCCTCTCTTCTCTCTGTGTAACCCTGACTTTCAAATAAATAAATAAATATTTAAAAAAAAAACAGTAAACCAAATCTACAAAATGACATGAAAATAAACCTGAGGAAAATAACTCACAGTTTTTCCAATTCGAGAGTCATCATGAGGATGTTCTCAACTGCGGTAAGTGGTACTTGCGTTGTTCCGATGTCTCTGAAGGAGAAAGCCCAAGCATTCATGATATGAACTCCAATGGTCCTTAACACGATTATTTCAAGAACAAGTGATTGCATCAATTTTGGGTTCTCTATAAAACAAGCCAGCTCAAGAGTTTGTCATGGGAAATCATTCCAGAAAGTTCTCATTGAAGAAATTTGTTACTATTTGCATCATCAAATTAATGACCTTGACACTAAAGAAACTACGCTTTTTTTTCTTGCCATTATCTTGCTGTTCATTTGCAAATTGCATTCCCTTCTCTTGATTAGTTAAGATTGTTTTTCTTTGCTTTCTGGAACAAATTGTATTGTACATGTTCCACAGCTGTATGTGATCTTCAACACTGTCTCCCCCTGCTGGCTGTTCTACACATTATAATCCTTTCTTAATCTCTTTTTTTGTGAATAGCTTTTCAGTAGCCTAATTTAAATTAAAATCATGATTCTTAGCCTTAATGCAAAACACTGAACCTTTAAAGAAAGTAAAAAAAAAAAAGAAGAGTAGAAATCATCCTATAACTTATGAGATCATTTTAATACTTACAGATATTTTAATGCTGGCAATTTAAAAAGATAGGAATCTTCAACAGTTGTCAGAGGATTACGATCAAGATTCCTGAAAAATGCAATGGAATTAAGATTATCTGCCTTTTCCATATGCACAAAAATGTGTGGAAGTTTACACAAAGAGAACTTGTATATTTAAAAAAAAATCATTTTCTGTCTTTACCTATAAATCACCCTTAGAATTCATAAAGCACCCTTCCTTTGGGGACTACCTGTGTCTCTGGAAGAGAAAGTGGAGACAAGAAAGAGAAAAAACTATAGGAAAAAAATGGACAGCAAAGAAAAAAAAATGTGCCAGAGTTTTCAGGTCAAAACCTCAGAAGCAGGGATGGTGTGTGACAGCATTAAGACTCTGGTTGGGATACGCAGGTCTCATATTGGGTGCCTTGGTGTGAGTCCCAGTTTCAGCTCCCAGTTGTGGCTTTCTGCTGATGCAGACCCTTGGGAGGCAGTGGTGATAACTCAGTAGGTTGGGTCCTTTCTCCTCCTTGGAGACCTGGATTGAGTTCTTGGCTCTCAGCTACAGGCATCTGAGGAGTGAACTGGTAGATGGGAGCTTTGTCTGTCTACCTATCCTCTGTCTATCAAGAAGCAAAATAAAACAAATAAAACTTGAAGTCACCACACGGGTAGGAAGCCCTTGCTCTGAAGGAAACACAATTCTGATGTCCTCCATAATTCAAGGTGCTTGCCTCTCATTTTTAGAAATTTTTAACCAATTCATGACTTGGGGCCAGTGCTGTGGCGCAGCAGGTTAACGCCCTGGCCTGAAGTGCCGGCATCCCATATGGGTGCTGATTCTAGTCCTGGCTGTTCCTCTTCCAATCCAGCTCTCTACTATGGCCTGGGAAAGCAGTAGAAGATGGCCCAAGTCTTTGGGCCCCTGCACCCATGTGGGAGACCTGGAAGAAGCTCCTGGCTCCTGGCTTCGGACTGACACAGCTCCAGCTGTTGCAGCCGACTGGGGAGTGAACCAGTGGATGGAAGACCTCTCTCTCTGCCTCTTCTCTCTGCCTTTCTTTTCTCTTACACAAAGTCAGTGTGTAACTCTTTCAAATAAATGAATAAATCTTTAAAAAAAAAATTCATGACTTAATTCACCCATTTAACAACAACAAAAAAGATCCACTCATTAACTCTGGAGCCAGAGAGAAAGGGACAAACCTAAGAGGAGGAACTGGTCAAAGTCATACTCCCTCTCATTTCCTGTTCTGCACCACAGCCTTAGTTACACTGCGTGTTTTCACCTGTTTGCTGTCAGTCTTCTGGACTGTCAGCTCCTTGAGGCAGGGACCACGTGTTGTTGTCATTGCTATTCCTGTGCGTGGCATAATGCCTGAAATGCACTTGGTGTTTAATGTTTGTCGAATAAACAATATGTTTATACATCAATAAATTAATAAATTCATTTTAATGCAAATTTTATTCTGAAATGCTGTAATAGATTTTCTTTTCTGCTTTTTAAAACAAGCAAACAAAAAAATAAAAGAAAGAGGGAGAGGAGAAAGAAAAGAAAATCTCTACTCAATAATTGTTAGTGTACTTTTACAGACTATAAAAATAAGAATTCTTACAGCTGATGCTGATTGGGCTGCCAGGCACCTGTGATCCACATTTTACATTTAATCCTCACAACATTATTACACCATTTTTCATGGGGAAACTAAGGCACGAAGAGGTTGTATAACTGTCCTAAGTCCCCAGGCTGTTAAGAGGCAAAGCTGAAGTGTGAGCTCACTTCTTCCTCCAAAGTCTGTCTTCAACATGTGTGAAGAAAAGGGATTTAAAATGGCTGTCCCGGGGACTATTTCTGTGGCAAAGTGGGCTAAGCTGCTACCTGTGAGACTGGCATCCCGTGTAAGTGCTGGCTCCAGTCCCAGCTGCTTCCAGTCCAGCTCCCTGCTAATGCTCTGGGAAAGCAGCAGAAGATGGCCCAGCTGCTTGGGCCCTTGCACCCACATGGGAGACGTAATGAGTTCCAGGCTCCTGGCTTTAGCTTGGCCCAGCCCTGTTGTTGCAGCCATTTGGGAGTAAACCAGCAGATGGAAGATCGATCTCTCTCTCTCTCTCTCTCTCTGTAACGCTACCTTTCAAATAAATAAATAATTCTTGAAAAAATAAAATGATAGCTGTTACTTTAACCTTAATTTTGAGAGGACTAAATATAGAAATACTTTTCAAACTTCATTAATTTTTTAAGAGAGCCGCAGTGAGAATTAGTTTCTCTTTTTATTCCTATTCCTCTTCCCTAATTATTTCCCATGATTAAATATTTAATTAGTTCATAGCCATTGAGACTAGAGATTTAAAACCATGTTGTAGGTGACATCAGTGAAAACAGAGGAATAAGGACATCTGAAAGTTCATTCCTTGGGCTGGTGCTGTGGTATAGCAGGTTAACCCTCTGCCTGCAAGGCCAGTGTCCCATATGGGTGCTGGTTCAAGTCCTGGCTGTTCCACTTCTGATCCGGCTTCCTGCTCATGGCCTGGGAAAGCATCAGAGGATGGCCCAAGTGCTTGGGCCCCTGTACCCGCATGGAAGACCTGGAAAAAGGTCCTGGCTTCTGGCTTTGGTCTGGCCCCGCCCTGGCCATTGCAGCTATTTGGGGAGTGAACCAGCAGATGAAGGACCTCTTCTGTGTATAACTGTGCCTTTCAAATAAATAAATATTAAAAGAAAAAATCACATCAATAACCTAAACTTCCACCTGAAGAAATTAGGAAGAAAAACAAAAAAGCCCAGCAAACTAAATCCAAAGCAAGAAGAAGACACAAAGATTAGAACAAAAATAAACAAAGAGAAAAAAAAAATAAAAAGAAAAACAATAGAGAAAATCAACATAATCAAAAATAGTTTCTTTGAAAAGATCAACAAAACGGAAAAAACTTTAGTCTACAAAACAAGAAAAAAAGACGCCTCGATTTATTGAAATCAGAGACGAAGTGGGGGCGGCGGTGCTGTGGTGCATCAGGTTAATGCCCTGGCCTGAAGCACCGGCATCCTATATGGGCGCTGGTTCAACTCCCGGCTGCTCCACTTCTGGTCCAGCTCTCTGCTATGGCCTGGGAAAGCAGAAGATAGCCCAAGTCCTTGGGCCCCTGCACCCACGTGGGAGACCCAGAGGAAGCTCCTGTCTCCTGGCTTCAGATCAGTGCAGCTCCGGCCATTGCGGCCATCTGGGGAGTGAACCAGTGGATGGAAGACCTCTCTCTCTCTCTCTGCCTCTCCTCTCTCTGTATCACTCTGACTTTCAAATACATAAATAAATCTTAAAAAAAAAAAAAAAACGAAAGGGGACATTACTGTTGACCTTATAGGCATTGAAAGGATTATAAGGGAAAACTATGAATACTGGATGTCATTCAGTTAGAAAACGTGAATGGAATTGAAACATTCTTTTTTTTTTTTTAGAGATTTATTTACTTATTTGAAAGGAAGAGTTACAGAGAGGCAGAAGCAGAGAGAGAGAGAGAGAGAGAGAGAGAGAACGCTTCCATCTGATGGTTCACTCCCCAAATGGCCGCAATGGCTGGAGCTGGGCAAATCAGGAACCAGGAGCTTCTTCCAGGTCTCCCATGCGGGTGCAGGGGCCCAAGGACTTGGGCCATCCTCTGATGCTTTCCCAGACCATAGCAGAGAGCTGGATGGAAGGTGGAGCAGCCTGGACTCAAACCAGTACCCATGTGGGATGCTGGCACTGCAGGGGGCAACTAACTTGCTGCACTACAGGCGCTGGCCCCGGACACTTTTTTAGAAGGACACAAACTACTGAAACTGACTTGAGGAGAATTAGCGCATCTGAATAGATCTATATCAAGTAAAGAGATTGAGGGTCCGGCATTGTGGTGCAGCAGGGCAAGGTGCCATTAAAGATAACCATGTCCCATGTTGTGGTGCTACAGATCAAGTCCTGCCTCTGCTTCCAATCCAGCTTCCTGCTAATGTGCATCCTGGGAGGTAGCAGATGATGGCTCAGCTACTTGGTTCCCTGCCACCCATGTGGGAGACCCAGATGATGTTCCTGGCTCTTGGTTTCAGTCTGACCCCACCCTCAGCTGTTGGAGATATTTGGGGAGTGAACTAGATCAATTTTCTCTCTCTCTCTCTCCCTCTCATTCTGCCTTCCAAATAAATAAAAATAAACTTTAAAAAAAAGTTAAGGGGCCGGCGCCGGGTTCACTTGGTTAATCCTCTGCCTGCAGCTCCAGCATCCCATTTGGGCACCGGGTTTTAGTCCCGGCTGCTCCTCTTCCAGTCCAGCTCTCTGCTGTGGCCTGGGAAGGCAGTGGAGGATGGCCCAGGTGCTTGGGCCCTGCACCCGCATGGGAGACCAGGAGGAAGCATCTGGCTCCTGGCTTCAGATCGGCATAGCTCCGGCTGTGGTGGCCATTTGAGGGGTGAACCAACGGAAGAAAGACCTTTCTCTCTGTCTCTCTCTCTCTCTCACTAACTCTATCTGTCAAATTAAAAAAAAAAAAAGTGATTCATTTAGTAATCAAAAAACTTCCCACAAAGAAAAGCTCAAGACGAAATGCCTTCTCACTGGTGAAATCGGTGAAATAGTTAAAGTCCTTCATGAAATCTTCCAAAACATAGAGGAAGACAGAACATTTCCTAACTCACTCTGTGAAGCTGGTTTTACTGCGATACCAAAATCAGACAAAGATATAACAAGAAAAGAAAAATTACAGGTCAGTATCTCTTATGAATACAGATGCCGAAGTCCTCAACAAATTCAGCAAATCGAATTCAACAAAGTGTTAAGAAAGACTATAGACTATCACCAACACAAATGTGAAGTTGGTTGAACAAATAAAAATCAATCATTGTATATGCTGTATTAATAGAAAAAATAAAGAAACATGATCATCTCAATACATGTAGTAAAAGCATTTAAAAGATACAATATGCTTTCACTATAAAAACATCATTAAATTAGGATCAAATGGAGAGCAGCAGTGAAAAACCCATGGCTAACATCATACTGAATTGTGAAGACTGAAAGATTTTCTCCTAAGATCAAGAACAAGGCAAGGAAGTCCTCTCTT